CAAACTATTAAAAATGTTCCAAAAAGTCAAAAGAGAAACAAATTTGTTTAGTATAGGTTCATAGAAAAAATATTAAGATATTGTGATTACATAAAATAAGTATTTTAAGCATAATACACAGTTAAAATATGTATTTTTGCCAATCTATATCAATTAAACCGTTTTTAAGGATGTTATACTACAAGTAATGTATTAGTACCTATATACAATAATCATTTTATCATTAGTTTTAATTTTAATGTGAGGTAGGTAAACTCGTAAGTCGTAAGTCTAAGAACCTACTATTATGTAACAATTATGCTTGTATCTAGACAATAAACTATTATTATTATATTCCATTATTAAATTAATAATATGTTTAATATTTATTAATGCAATATTTCATAATTATTATACTAAAACAATTTACGTACGATTAATTTTATGCTTAATATAGTATTTTTAAATCATGTACGTGAAAAATATTTTATTCATAATATTTTTTTTTAGTGTCAGGTGTTTATTTAATATAGGTACAAAGAATTATCCTTATCGTATTTTAGTACTTCGTGGACACATTTTTGACGACTTCTAATAAACACTAAATATCACATTTTAAGTAACCTTCTAAATACTTAACTTATACTACCAGTTTTAGGAATTCAATAAAATTATTTCAGCGTTTATCATAAAATATTATATTCTATTATTTATTATTTATTAACAAAGAATCAAATTAATTTGATTTTGGTATTTGTATTATTGTTTTAAAACATGTTTATAAAATATTTGAGCTTTTTTTACATCTCACTCTCGATCTTATTATTTAGACAGTTTTCACAGTCCTACGTTACTTTAATATAGTCAAAAAAGTAAGATATAACTTTCAAGGATGTTTTTTTATAAAAATATTCATTAAACATTTTTTAGTTTGAAAATGTCATTATTGAGGATAAGTATTATTATTTATCGTAGAGTTTAGAATCTGTTTAAAGTTTCATTATTTACCGTCGAAATTTATTAGTGTTAAAAACATTTGTTTATGCACACCTGTGTATATCTTATACAAATAAAATATTTAATACTATACTCGTTAAATTTAAAGTAAATTATTTTTGATTATGAAGACATAAATTTGTATTTTATTTTATCACAGAAATATATTAATTGTTTTAATACTTAATAACTATTAAATGTATCTATATTATATATAAACATCAACTGCTATTTTAATATCTATAAAATCAGTAGAACATACATTTTATTATTCAATTGTGTTGAACACAATAACATATTACATTCTATATTGTTATATTAAATATTATAATTTTATTATAATAATTTATCAACAAAAATAGTATCAATAAGTATATTATTATTATTTTCAAATAATACGCATAGGAACAATTTTATTTTATGTTCTCTCCTATGAAAATTAAAATTAAAATCTCTTAACTAAAAAGGTTATGCTGAACAAATGTTCAAATGATTTAACTTTCAAGTATGAATTATGTTTTACTACTTACAACTTTGTAATAAAGCTTTCGTATTAATTTAAATTGCTGTATAAATTAAATTATATAGAAATAATTAACCTTAGGTAGGTATTGCTTGTGCATCAAATTGTAAATGAATCCATCACAGCTTTAAATTATTATTAGCATAGCATTTAAATAGCTCACCATACATTTTTTGCGTAGCAGTGTAGAACTTTCAAAAGCAAATATTTATTGTCAGCATCACTTAAAGTATACGAGTCGTATGTTTAAAAAATGCACCTCACTAATATTTATTAATATTTATTTATAGAATATTAGTGCATATTTCTATTAAGATAGTCAATACAAATTTAGTATTTTATACGTTATATATAATATTTTATTTCAATTTAGTTTTTATGCATTTTTTTAAATTTTCTATGGTTATTTACAACCTATAAAGGTGTATAGTAATGAAATAAGCAAATTTGGAGATTTTTGTTAAACCATTATATTGCAGTGAATTTAGAAAAATTATTCATTAATATTCCTTATGCTTGGTTAAATTTAAAACTGTATTGTTATGAACCTTAATAATGCATTTTATTATAATAAAATATTATATTTCATTAAATTACTCTCCTAAGTTAAATACGTATGATTAAAATATATATTATGCAAATCATAAAATAGTAATTACAGACGTGTGAAATAATGCTTAATGATAATTGATTAAATAACATTTTATAATATTATAAAAAAATAAAAATTGTATTACAATTATTATAATATTAATTATGATTGATATGTTAATATTGTTAATTTATTTCTATGTTCCAACAGAATATACATTGTTTTGAATAATAATACTTTATCATGTTATTTATTACATTTATTGAAATTTATTTTGTTTTATTTGTTTAAAATACATTTTATAATAATATAATAATAATAAATTAAAATATGAAAATATGAAAATATTTTTAAAATAGGCTGTAATTAATTAAATTAAAAAAAAAAAATTTAATATTAAAATCATTGTATTCAAAAGCTGATTCTAAGCAAATCCATATTTAACCAAAAATAATTTTAAAAAATACAATATGATTATATTTCTTAATGTTTTAGGTACCACACATTTTATCGAAAGTCTAAGGAAAATCTAAAAATTATTTATCTCATGTGTCATTGTGACAAATGAATAATTTATAGTAGGTAATGTTTAATGAAAATTGTATACAACATATCCTAACTAAACAAATTATGTAATTATCTACTATAAAAAAAAATAGTAGATAATTATTATAGTAGATAATTTTTATATGTTATTATTATAACATATAAAAATAAATACTGTAAAACCAATATACTACACGCTTCACTAAGGATCTAAAAATAAATTGTATTTTGAAAGTGTAAATTAATAAATACGTCTCGCCTTGGATTATAAATTATAATAAACTGGATATATTACAGTTATTAATGGATAATAATGGAATGATTCCATGGTTTTGTCGATGTTGAAACTAAGTAATGCTTTGTTTTAGAGATACAGTTAGTGGTTGCCTTATTGACCAATATAATAATGTACAGAAAACCATATAAGTTAACTCATACTCTTAAGTTATTTTAGAGCCTTGAAGTCTGAATAGTGAATACCAATCATAATAATATAACGATGTACTAACGTCAAGTTACACACAATGTCACAATTTCTTCTGTGGTAATGTGGTTACAGGATCACTGTGATACCTACATCGATTTCACAACGATTTTCTGCGCATGTAACCAATCATTTATTTGTTATCTCGATCAATGTTTTTGAAATGTGCCATCAACATCGTTTATTATTGTTGTGAGTTTTGTTTTTATTTTTACAATAAAGCAAGGTCGGAGATTGAAGTACATAACAATACTCACGTGCCGAGATAGAATATCTTATACTATACAAATATGTAATAATATTGAATGGAAACAACTTGTTCACAGTGTGTCCTATACAAAGTGTGGATTTGATCATTCATTATTAACATTTATACAGAAGATAGACCTACCTATATCCATACCTCAATATGGTGTATTATGTACACCGATTTATACGATAGATGTGACGTGACAAAATAGCTTCACAATTTTCTTGTCTATATTTAATTAATCAGTTATTGTATTGCATTTTTTTTAGAAGACATAACAGAATTTACTGGTTTATAAATTTGATATGCAGTAGATCTATAAAAAAGAGATTATTCGTAGATCGGATTTAATCTTACTGATTTGAAAAACTATAACAGATCCTATACCACAAATCTACTGTTTTCAAATTAAACTTAGGATTTTTAAAAGTTAATTTAAGATAGTTTGTTCTCATGCAAGGGTATCGTTTCAGGTTATTTTTTAGGTGTGCGAGGTTTCAAGTAGGCCATTTTGAAATTTCACCAGGCCATATAAAAATTGATATATGTACGTATATGTACGCATTATCCTACTTTTAATTATTATTTTCATATATCTCATGGACCAAATCAATGAATCAGTATACCAATATTGATAAATGTCAATATGAAAATTAAAATATAATTTAAGAAGATTTAATTTTGTACATTATCTCAGCAGGGCGTAGGCCAATTAGTATATTATTTTAAAAGTAAAGGGTGCAGCCGCACACCCTGATCCCTCTCCCAAATAACGCCCTTGTTCTCATGTATTAACTACTAATTTTGTTTTTTTAGATCATTAGCAACTTTGAGTGGGATAATTAACAAGATTATTGGTGTTATAACAATAATGTAGTAATGACAAACTGAACGGCTTAATAAATTAGTTTAAAAGTTTTGCACAGTGCAGCTTCTGTAAATTTAATGATGGAAGCTGCCCGTTGATTAAGACTTTATTTTAAAAAGATCGTTTTTAGATTTTACAGTTGTGTTTATATTTACACAACTACAGTTAATGTTGAATGTTGCTTATGTTGGCTTATAATGTATCTTATATTTTTAAAGTAAATGCATTTAATACATTAACGTTATTAGTTATAATAATCTAAGATTCTAAGACATCTTAATTTTAAGCTTCTGAGTATCTTTTAAAATGTAGGTAGTCCTATATCTACTATATTAATACTGACTAACAAGATTTAGTAAAAATAATATATATAATATATATTTGTAATTTAGACAATATAAATCTATGTATAGTAAATAGTAAGTGTATTATACATTTTTGTACGATCAAAACTTATAACGCATACTTAAATTATTTTGAAGACAGCACCTACTAGAAACGTATTTGTATTTGATTTTATTATCATATAAATGCATAAAATATAACCTCAAAATAATATTCATGGTTTGTGAAATAATGTTGAATAAAAATACCTATCTAAATTTAGTTATTGATAAATATATTAACTTGAATGCATTTTTTATTTTATTACATATTTCAATCAAAATGGAGGAAAATAATAAAAATAAAAATATTTAATTTGCAAATTTATTTTAAAAATACTATAATGCATTGTGGACAATATTGTTTTTATTTTTGCAGATATTTAGACAACATCCGCTATGTCAGAATACAGCGGTGAAGCTAAGTACCGACCAAAACGGTATCAGTCTATTGGCAAGTTGTTCAAAAAACGTGTTCCTATCATTTCTTGGCTACCCAAGTACGATACAGATCAAGCTGTTAGTGACTTGATTGCTGGGATCACTGTTGGACTAACAGTCATGCCTCAAGGGCTGGCTTATGCTACACTCGCTGGTCTAGAACCACAGGTGAGAGAAACTTATATTGATAGTCTGAATAAGTTAAAAATAATATATAAATGATAATGTTTATTTAAAATACAATAGTATTAATAAACATATTGAAGTGTACTATTTATACAACAATTGAAGGTTAAGTTACTGGTGGAAAATTTCTTGGTTTTAACTTCAGAATGATAATGTTCTAATATTCATGAGGGAATGTCTGCTATTCGTTTAAAGCGCATGATCAGTCGTTATTTAAATTTTATCAAAAATATGTAGGTACCTACTCAGTTTAACTTTTTTTTGACCGATTGAGAAAACATAAGATTAGTTTCTACAAATATATATATCATTCATACTATCGTAAAATACCTATTTAATATTTTACATATTAATTATTTTTGTATTATATATCAAAAGTACAAGTGACAATTGTTACCTGTACACTTTTTTAATAAAAACTGAACACATTTTATTTATAATTAGTTTTTTTATGACACATTGAAGCGTATATTTGAGTATGTTTTAAGTATAACTATAATATATTCATATTTTTACGCATAATTTAATATTTTTTAGTTCATAAAATGATAAGTACTGTTATATAATAATTTTTAAAATTGGTAGTCATTTATTGGTAAATTAAATTGCTAAATATGTTAAATATATCCAGACACACAATTTTATTTGCATTCATACTTTCAATCAGTTTATATGTATGACACTTTTTTTAGTGCGCTAAATTAAAACAACTATGTAAGTACTATAAAATATTCATTTTTTTTTTTTTTTTTTTTGATGACATATTAAATGTATGTTTATTTAATGTAATTAACTTCTAGCTGATGTATTAATACAAAACTTATATCTACTATAGAGTTTATAATTTCATATATTAACCAGTTGCCGGAAGTATGAAAACATCTGATATGACTTAAACATATCACAATCACATCTATATGAAAATTTCGAAAAACGATACAGAAGCCAAAATAACGAATTTTTTAAAATAGCTAACTCATATACTATATAGATAGAAAATAAATTATTAAAAACTATACAAGTAATATTATATAATATATGTTAGTTTATCTTACCACCTATACCATGTAACATGTTAACGAATTATCCCGGAAGTTATAGTTGTTACACTTGTTACAGTATACAAATATTACATTATGCACGAAATCGATGAATTTTTTTGCATATACGTGGCTCAGTTTATTTTACTCTATTAAATTATAAATTTATAACATTAAATAATTTACATATATTTTGTTAATCTAATTAGTTATGGCTTATAGGCTATGGAATGGACTAATATACTTGTATGCCATTAATCTTATATTGTGACAAACAAACATTCATAGTTTTATTTTTAATAAAATTAATGTTGTCTTATAAAATATCTATTTACATAAAAATCATTAATTGCTTTCGTATCTAGAATAATTGAAGCTTTGTCAAACTAATAATGAATCGTATTATTTAATCTAAATATACAGCTAAGGAAAGATCAGTTAGTTATTATTTAATATCTTTTTTGAGGCACTGGAAGCACGTTGCTTCAGAAATTTTGTATTGAGTATATAAATTAAATTATTTATAAAATTAAAAATTATTTTCAACTTAAAATAGAAACAAGCTGAGTATCTCAAACAAATGTAGTTAAATTGTACAAATGCATTTCAGGAAATTGTGAAAAATCGCTTTTTTTATCGCATGATAATCCGATTTACGTATAATGTCAAAATGAAATAATTTCTAATCAAATGTAAAATACTGCTGTACTATACTATTATGCGTGCTGAGATGAGTACTCAATAAAGTTTATGTATCCAGTTGAATTTATTTTATTATTATTATTATTATTTTTTTTTTTTTTATTATTATTAGACTTATTATAAATAATAATATAATACTAATTAAAAAAAAAAAGTATAGAAAGATTATATTATTTGTGTGATTGAATATACTGACTTCGTAATTTGTGTGTTGCACGCTTTATTCACTGTTATGAGCTTATAATTTATAACATAATATATGTATAAACAAAATGTAGCTTACTTTATTAAGAAATGTTATTTAAATATAAGTAGATACTATAGTATAGACAAAAGATATAATTTATTTTATTTAAATAATACAAAAAACAGTGATGGTAATTTGTGGATTATCTTGTTAGTATCTATTAGGCAATAATAAATATATCATTATATAGAAAATTTAATAAAGTATCAGTGTTTTCTTTCGATTTATATGTTTTTATAATTGTTTTCAATTTAATAGTAAACAAAAATATATTCACAACCATAAAGTATACTTGTTTAAATTAAAGTGTTTGAAGAAAATTAACTTTTAATAAAAATTGATGAAAGTATATGTATTTTATTTGTTCATTGACTGATTTGGTTTGTATAGGTTGAGTGTTATTTTAGATTTTCGTTAAAGCAAAGATTGAAATAATCTTACAACAGTGATAAACAAATATAAATATTTTTGATTATTACCTATTTTAATTTTATGAGAATATTTTTAGGTTAAACCAGTTTTTTAATAATTATAATTAGTTAATAATAAAATATATAAGTACTAATATCTGTGTTTATATATTTTTTTACAGTATGGCTTGTATTCTGCGTTTGCTGGATGCATTGTTTATACAATGTTCGGTAGTTGTAAGGATATTACCATTGGACCTACAGCATTAATGTCCCTTATGACATACCAACAAGTAGTCAATAGAAACGCTGACTATGCAGTATTATTATGTTTTTTGTCTGGTATTTTACAGTTCATTATGGGATCACTTAAACTAGGTATGTATTAATTTAAAAAAAATAAGGACAATAAATTTATGTTTGTTTATATACTTTTTATATTTTTAAATCAATTACTAAAATTATAGTCATAATACCTATAATTGTCGCGGAAAATCTGCTTACTTTTTATTTTTTTCTCTTGGTAACATGAAGAAACATACCACCATCGGGATTTGCTGGTATAGTTTTTGGATTCAATTTTATTGGTAATTTCATATTTTTAGACAGTGAAATGTTATAAGTTGATAAAATTCTAAACAACGCCACTTTTACTTGCATCATTCCGAATCGCATACCTGATCAAATTAATAAAATATTTTCAATTGTTTTTTGCAATTATTTTTTAACAATACTTTACCTATGCATAGTCTAGGACCAGCGCCAAATGGCAAGTAAGCATATTGTGGTCTATTATGTTTTTCATCCTCTGTAAATCTTTCTGGAATGAATTTTTCCGGTTCTGGCCAATATTCAGGATCGTTATGAATAGCATATACTGGTATGACCACCTGGAGTCCTTTATTAAGGGTGAAATCTGAGTTTGGTAACTTATATGGTTTTATTGTCTTCCTGGTTAAATTAGGCACTGGTGGATACTTTCGCAAGGCTTCTATAAATTGAAATTGTGAAAAATGGTTTATTTTAATATTTATATAATTTACTTTCTACTAACCAGACACAATCATATCTAAATAAGTCATTTCTTGCAATATTTCATATGTTAGTTTTCCATTGTGTTTAATAAGTACTGAATCAATTTCTTCTTGAGCTCTCGTTTGTATTTCCGGGTTTTGGGCAAGTTCAAAAAATGTGAATGTTAACGTAATTGATGAAGTTTCATATCCTCCAATAAACCATACAAAACATTGGGCCGCCAACACATCCATAGTAAATTTAAAATCTGAAATATTATAGATAGGTACTATATGATATTAGAATTTAAATGAGATGAACCAACTTTTTTTTTCAAATTACATTTTATAATCAATGACGGAACGAGACGATTTTGATCTCTAATGTAACATATAGGTACTACCAGTTATCAACTAATAGAATTAAGTATTTTTGGTAAATTGGTTTTATGATTTCATTTAATAGATATATTATAGATAAAAGATGGTAAAACATAATTTATTATAACATAAGTAAATTTACTATAGTCAATTAATTTTAATTATTATATGTATACTATATTACATCATAAATCATGTGTTAGAAAATTAATTAATACAATAATTATGATATGTCATAGAATACTCTTTGACTTTGGATGTCTATAAAAAAAAACCAATTTTTTTAAAATGTTTTTAAACTGCTAAAAGAACATTTTATGAGGCATCCTACTATAATACCATTATAAACACGTTTATCTAACTATTCGACGAATTCCCAACTACGCCATTAAGATAAACTGAAAAAAATATACATACCTTCTTTTTCGTCGTTTTCGTTAAGTACTAATTTACTTTCTTCTTCAGAAGATAAATTTTGGCCTCTTTTAATTTTCAACAGCAAATCCAGAAAGTCATTTCGTTGTATATTGTTCTCTTCTCTATATTTGACTGTATCATTCACTACATTAAAGAAAAAATCGGCGTATTCTTTTTTGATACTTCGTACTTTTAGTAATCCGATTAAACTTGGAGCCAATGCATTTAGCGCATTTCTTATGATAGTTTCTTTACTAGTTGAAAATAGCATTCGACCGACTTTCCGAAATTCTGCCTCAGGATTAGCCAACGAGTTGGTTTCAAATCCAAATGCCACAATACTAATGACATCGGTTGCAAATCTAGCTAACAGTTCCTTAAATTCTACCTAAAACACAGCGATAAATAATTTATCTTAAAACTATAAGACTTGTAATTAGAATCTTAATAAAAAAAATAGATCTAAAATCATTAAATGTACTGTACTATTAATTAAATGCTTATATGTAAATCATAGAAGTATTGTATAAATATATTACTTGTTCACCAATCATTGATGATGCGTCAAGAATCTTAACCATTTCTTGAGCTCTACCATCTATAAGATCAATCATGTTCTTTATTTTTCCAATGGTGAATGCTGGTGTCAATTTATTTCTTAAAACTTTCCATTTATGGCCTTCCAATGTTAATAAATTACCAGTAAGCGGCTCTAACTTGTCATCAAATATTATTCCACGGTTGGGAAACGTAGAAAACTCTTTTGTAAACACGTCTTTTATAATATTTAAATCTCGAAGCATTAGCTTCGGCTTTTGAAACTGATAGAAACCAGTGAACTTGTATCCATTTGTATTAAAATATATGCTAGCATAATGTTCGCCTACCCATGTTTTCATTTTAGTTACCTCCTTAGTATGACCATATATAATGTGAGGTTTTAATGGTACAGGGCATCCTTGACGTTGCCAAAACGTATAACGATATCTTAAGTATAAATAAAATGATGTCGAAATTATGACGGCATACGCCATCAAGTTTAATGGCAAATAATCGAATAAAACCATTTATCCTGCTAATGAAATAATTACCATTATTAAACATAATTAATGTTATATTGTTTTCATTGTTAGAAATTAATATATATATAAAATAAATATATTATATAATTTAATATTTTACTTAATTAACTTAAATATATTGTGCATACATTTAAATAAAAATAAATAAATTCGTTCAAAGAAAACAATTTAACAATATGTTAATTGTTTTACAGGAAGTTATACTGGCCATGTTTCTTTAAATTTATTTTTGTAATTAAAACTTATTAAAATTATAAATTTTAATAAGTTTAAGTTGTGAATAGTGTTCAATAAAATGCAAAAAATATTAATAACACTTATGGGCGTATTGAAATTTGAAATTAGTTAATAATTTCGATGTGTAAATATGATTCATGGATAGTTAAGTAGACATAGACTAAGTAATCCTTTATAATTAAATAATACATTTTATATTTTTTCTAATAATTGGTTCAGCTCTTTTATAGAATCTAAGGCTTAATATATTGCCAATAATAAAATGATATTTTTAAAAACCATGCAAAAAATGTTTCTTTATTTATAACTTTGTAGATAATAATAAAAAACAATTAAACCTAATAACACATACTATATATCTCATAAGTTAATTGACTTAAGTTATTAAGCTTTTAAATGTTTGGTATCTAAAAATAATTATAGTATTTTAATTTATTTACTTAATATAATATTACCTTTTTATAATATCGAAAAATGTATTAATTTTTAACAGATGAAGTTGACTGTTACTCGAACATGACGCAAACATTTATGTTCTTAATGTATGAAACAATTATACTTCTAGTTATTATTTAATTGCATAATCACTTTTTTTTATTAATTTATATAATATTTTTAAATGATAATAAATAATAACATTTCATAATATCCAATGTATAATATAAAATTACTAAAATAGATTTATATTTTTTTTATAAGTGAAAAAAATAGAAGTATTTATTTGAAGTACCTAGTTATAGTAGTATGAATCATAAATTCATAAACACATAAATATAATATTCTGGCGTTTTTTTCGAATTATCTAAGCTGACTTGCGCAAGGTTAGACATAACCTAACCTAACCTAATTGAGGTTATTCACACAAAACACATACACAGAGTAAAATCATATTATGAATCATAATTTTATTTAAATTTTCTATTTAATACTTAATCCAAGACCTATCAATACGTTTATTATTTAATCAATTTAATTTAATTTTTATTAACTTATGTAACACTATATTCTTACGTTATGTTTATACGGCAATTCGAATTAAATAAATAATTACATTTATTGATGTGTAAACATCTATGCTATCGGTTTGTAGTACGACCTTCTTGCGGAATCGAGCGTCAGGCGTAAGTCATGTAGATGTGACTGCTTGAGTGTGTGTGTGTGTGAGGCTATTGCCATTGATTTAATTTAATTAAATTTAATTTAATTGATTAAATTTATAATATAATATAATATATAATATATTATACGCCTATATATTTTACTATAGAAATTATATTATTTGTTTATCGGAGTTACGACTAATGCATATCAATTAACACCGGTTTCATGAAAGAAAACAAACTTAAATACTATGATAATGATACCAATCGACGCGCATTTTTTTTTTCATTGAATTACATGAAAAAATGAAATTTGAATTTTTTGGAGTTACGCCTTTTGCTAAATAGGCTGACGATATATAATATATCATAATTAATAATATATAATAAATAATTATAATATATATAAATTATATATAATAATAAAAACAATATATATATAAATAAAAATAAAAAAGTTAAATATAAATTTTAAAGAGAACGCGAGCTTGTATGATTATTGTTACCTTATTATACAAATTCCACTCAAACCATGACATTATATTCCCCAATCAAAGTCGTACTGCAGTTTAGATGTTTACACATCATTCGTGAGTACAAAGGCACTCACATAGGGTTTTACATTTAAATAAAAACTTTGGTTGTAAACGTAAGAATATATTTATATATTACTTAGATTATCATAAAACAATTAGATGTTACATATATTTTAATAAACTGTAAATATATTATTAGATACCTACCAAAGTACTAACCTATCCTATTGAATGTAGTTATATTTTGTTTAAAAAAATGCATATAAATATTTTAATCTAGGCGTATTAATTGACTTCATTTCCATCCCGGTGACCGTTGGTTTTACATCAGCTACCTCTGTTATCATAGCAGTATCTCAATTGAAGGGTCTTCTTGGCCTAAAGTTCGAATCATCAAGCTTTTTAGATTGCTTGCTGAAAGTGTACCAGAATATTGGTAATTATCGCGCCAATGATACAATTCTTGGAGTTACTTCTATCATCATACTACTCATGCTTCGAGTAAATAACTTACACTATGCCTTTAGGTTAAAACTATTTTTCAAATTTAATAATTGTACTTATTTTTTTTAGAAAGTAAAAGATATTAAATTATTTGAACCTAATGGTAAGCCATCTAATAAACAAAGGACAATTATGAAAGGGCTGTGGTTACTCTCCATATCCAGAAATGCTTTAATTGTAGTTGCTTGCTCAATCGTTTCATACTGGTTTTATAGGCCAAATTCAGAACCTTTTGTGACTTTAATCGGTGAGTAAAAAATATTTATGAATCTGTTATCTATTATATAGTTTACCAAAATATTCTTTAATGAATAATATTTGAGCCTAATCTATTAATAATAAATAACGTATTATTCTATAAAATTTTCTTAATATCGATATGTATATATATTTTCTATATTTTAACTAGTATAATATTATTAAAATTTACAATAGTAATTATTTTTTATATTAATTAACCGTATGAACATTTGAAAAAACATACGTGTTTAGATTTAATGAAAAGATATTCATTAAAAATATTTATTGATTACGGCGATTTATTGAAATATTAAATTACTTCAAATACTAATATAATTATTTGAATTAAGTATAAAAATGTTGGTACATTATTTTACTGTTAAACTATTTCTGTTTGTATTAAACTTTATTTTAATTCATGTGTTTATTTTAAAGGAAAAGTAAGATCTGGTTTGCCGCCGTTAAAATTTCCACCGTTTGGAACGGAAGTAAATGGTACAGCGGTTAGCTTCATTAATATGTGTTGGGATCTTGGGTCTTCCATTATATTAGTGCCGGTAATTGCTGTTCTCGGAAATGTCGCTATCGCTAAAGCATTTGGTATAAAGTTTTATTATATTTGTAAATTTTAGCATTACTCTAAAACGAATTTCAATTGCCTACAAAACACGTTTTAACTTTAAAATAATTGTAATAGCTAGCGGAAATTCAGTGGACGCTACACAAGAACTCTATTGTTTGGGCGTTTGCAATCTATTGGGTTCGTTCGTTTCTTCGATGCCCGTTACCGGATCATTCTCAAGAAGTGCAGTGAATCACGCTAGTGGCGTACGGACTCCTATGGGCGGAATGTATACGGGTAAAATGCTTATAATGTAGTACTATTTCAAAATCATTTGTTAACAAGACACTTTCGAACATTTTAGGTATACTTATTATTTTGTCATTGAGTTTATTGACGCCGTACTTTTACTTCATACCCAAAGCAGCTCTAGCAGCAGTCATCATTAGTGCTGTTATTTTCATGATCGAATACGAGATCGTTAAACCTATGTGGAAATCAAGTCGTAAGTCGAAATGGTGATAACCTTTCGGTACTTATTTGTCTATTACCTGCCACCTGTAAGCCACCATTGGTTGTATTTAGGTTTTTTTTGTTTAACAAAACTTATAAATAAAAGTAGCAAATTATGACAATACTATAATATTGTCTACAAAAAAATAAACAAAATGATACTAAGAATTACATGTACTTAAATACAAAACACTTAAAGGGTAGTTTTCTATAAAGTTTTCTTTAATTGACATTATTCTTGACCAGTGTCATATATTTTATTTATTTTAAATAAACAATGTGTATTTGTTAAAATTATTTAAAAATCACTTTAAATACTATACGGTAAATAATTTATTAAATAATAGTTTATATTTAATAGCCCATATAAGTATATAGTTTTAAATTTTTCTATGATTAAAAAATGTAGATATAATTTTATAAAGAAATGTTCACAAAAATTCTAACTTTCTAATTTAAGAGTAACAATCACCTGATAGCAGGAAATTAAACTATTTCCATTTTGTTGGCGGGGCAATATCAAATACATACTTATAATTTATTTTCTCATTCATTCATTAAAACTATTTATAAATTATCTATTTTCCTATGTATATCATCTATGAACTATTCCTCTCATCTGCATAACCACATCAAAACAATTTATGTTTAATATAATATATTATGTATATTAATATTTATCACCTATACATTCGTAATTATACAACAAATGGTGCTGGTAATGACCTAGGATCTCGTTTAAATTACTTATTAAATGTACTTAAATTGTAAAATTTTTAGTTGTATATGTCGCATCCACATAGTGAAACCACTCATTTCATGAACCAGATAGTGAAATTCGTCCATATCGTGAATTTTGACGAAAATACATTATATGGACATCCATTTCATGAAATTGACAATACCTATATCGTGTACTTTGTGTAATTATTATTTTACTATATAATGGTTCATAAACTATCATTATACATTTATACGTATATAATATTTTATTATATAAATAATTATATTTTAACAAAAATATTTTTCACGATTGATTATGACATTAACTGTTACAAAGCATACTTTTCAATATCAATAAAAATAATAATGCTTTATCCGTGATTTATATTATATGAGGCTATTAGAGAGATATCAAATTTAATTTCGGTAATTTCACATCCGATATCATATGAATGTTTCTTTATCGGATATTTGGATGACAGTTGACGGATACCTATGTAACTCCTATGTTGTTCAAAAAATAACATTTATTGAGTGTTTGTGTATAACACAGTTACTATTGTGTTTGCAGTTTATACGTGTTGTCAATGTCATAATAAATCGTGAAAAATAAAATATAATATACATATAAATGTATAATGATAGTGTATGAACCATTATATAATAAAATAATAATTACACAAAGTACACGATATAGGTATTGTCCATTTCATGAAATGGATATCCATATAATGTATTTTCGTCAAAATTCACGATCTGGACGAATTTCACTATCTGGATATCCAGTTCATGAAATGAGTGGTTTCACGTTTCACTATGTGGATGCCACATATATAATATAATAATTATTAAAATTGCCTATATGGAGCCCCTAAAAAAAAAACGAGGGACACGTCATAATATTATAATGTCTATAATTGAGTATGTTTGTTTGCATTTAGTATAAATCATAATAATATTTATGAACAATAAAAAGAACTAATATATTATTTATATCAAAAAACATTTAAAAACTTTAGTTTATAACTTCTATTCAAAGCAGTAGTTGTAGATTTTATTTAAAATTGAAGTATAATCTTTGATTACAAAATGTATGTCACTTGCTTAATAATTGTATTATAAATGTAAATTTTTTTGCATATTTGATGAAGTACTTAATAATTAAATTAAATTAAGTGTGTTTTGTTTTAATGTAATCTAAATAATTAGAATTTACTACTCTATGTATATTAAATATAATATAATGTGTACTTAATTCATATTTTTTAGGAAAAGACTTAATACCTACTTTTGCAACATTTATTTTATGCCTGGGTATTGGTGTAGAACTTGGAATTTTAGTAGGTGTCGCAATAAATATCATGCTTTTACTTATACCATCGGCTAGACCGTTTTTGCACATTGAAATGAAAAAGGTAAGTTATGAATTTTTTGGAAGCTTTTTAAATTATTATTGATTTTCATATGAAAAATATGTTTTTGTCCTTATTGTTAATGAGTTAAACCATATAAATGTGTTATATTTGATAAATAATATGAGCTTTGATGATTGCAGTTAAGAACCGGCCTGGATTATTTATTAGTGACCCCAGAAAACAGTCTTTACTTTCCAGCTGTAGATTTTATGCGAGCTAAAACAGATAAAGCTGCTGTTAAAATGGGGCAGTCTAAACTTCCTGTCGTGGTTGATTGTAAACATATACTTGATGCAGATTTTACAGCTGCTAAAGTAAGAATAAAAATAAAATACAATAGTATAATTTTGATCCTCATTGTTCAATTATCCTAACTAAAAAGTAATTACTTGTTACTATATTAAACAATAAATATGTTTTTTGATTTAATTAATAAAAAAATTAATTTTAAGTACATAATTTAAACATTCTTTTAGATATAATATTATAATTAGTTATTTACATATACAGAGAATTAATTATATCTGTGTATAAATAAACCATTTAAATTCATTAAATATGATACCTAAACATTTTTATTGTGTTGGTTTAATTATTATTCTAAAATATTTTCCTAGATGCATGAAAAACTAGTTTTGTTTAACCAGTTTCTAAGTCTTCTTCTGATCTGCCCAATATTTTTAATAACCAACCAGTACCTGCTTTTTTTTTATAGCTAAAGTATTTGAATAGATTATTATAGATAAGTCTAATCTAATTTCAATAATGTAATCATAGATAAGCACTACAGTTTAAACACAACAAGTAAATATTGATTTATACCAATACGTGTTATACTAGAAGTTCCTCAAGGATTCAATTTCACATCAATATTATTTTTATTTTTGTTAATGGCATAAGTTTTTAAAATTATATTAAATTAAAGTTTGCTATTGATATCAAAATAATCCGCATAGTTAACAATCAAAGTTGAAACTGTTTTACTTCAATCTGATTTAAATCATTTCTAAGAATGATGTATTAACAATAATTTTATTCTCAACATTAATAAAAAAAAATATAGATAATGACATTTTCTAGTGCTCAATTTGTTTCAAAATTGAATTATAATCACAATGCTGTAATACTACATTGGACCATGAATCTATTAAAAATCTTAGAAATTGTTTTCATACGAAACTTAAATTTGATTGTCACATTAACAATATTGTAGACAAATTAAACAAAATATTCATTTTAATGATTTAATTTTTGAAATTGTGCTGACTTTAATGATAAACTTCTGTCTGTGAATAGATTTATTTTTTTAGTTAAGAGTTTTGTCATAAATATTGACTATCCTGAGTTATACTAGGTTTAAATATAAATTTTATATTAACAGTTGACACAAAAAAAATTAATTGTGCAATCAATATCTTCCATAGTAAAATTATAAAACCATAAATAAATTAAAAATTAATTTTTTCATACTACAGAACATCAACTCATTTAAAACGTATAGTGATTTCATAGCTTATAATTACTTTTTATTATTTGTGTATTATATTTCATTGTTTTTCATTTTTTTTTTTTTTTTTTTTTTACAAACTGTTATTATTATAATCAAACTTATGTTATTGGGTCAGGCCCATTTAAACCTTAAATAAACATATAAAAAAAAAAAATTATTATTTTAATTATCTAGGGAATTGCTGGATTAATAATGGACTTCAAAAGACGAAAACAACCATTATGTTTCTATAATCCTAGAATAAGTGTTTTGGCTGTTCTACAGGGTGTGTGCGTTGATGAAATTGTTCACTGTTTCACATATGACGAACTGGAACAAACCCTTAATGGTAATACCTAATATAAATTATAACATTTTAATATTTGATTTATGCTTGGGTAGTAGGTATTGTATAAAATAATTATAAAATACGTATTAGTAATTATATATATAGTTAATATAGTGTTCTTTATAAAGAATCAGACTTCAAAACTATAATTTAATTAGATTGTGAATAAATAAGAGATTATGCTATAAAAATTATTTATATAAATATAAATTGAATTGAAGAATATTGAACACCCTAATAAAATTAAAATATATTTATTTTAGATATCAACTCTTCTGGAAATCCAGCGGAATTAAAAGACATAGTACACACAACATCTCAGCAGTCACATGAAACTCCACTTTTAAGTAGAAGACAACATTAAACACACAAATTATTCTTAGTAATTTTTTCCTACATGATAAATAAATCTACTATAATTTAATTTATACATAATTATTATGTAATATTATGAGTAAATTTTGTTCATATTTATATAGGTCTAATTTAAATATTTATTTTTGTAAAATTTGTATTAACTACATAAATATTAATAATGACATATTTTTTCATATGTATCAATTTTGTTCATCTATCAAAAGTTAGAAACTAAGAAATTACCTTTTGTAATATCTTATTGATTTTAATAATTATTATTAATATATTTTTCTAATATTTACAAGTACACTTGTATGTTGTATTACATGTGTAGTTTGTTTGACTGTATAACAATATTTTTATAAATATGAGACATGAATATATTTTCTAAGTTAATTGAATGAAAAAAATGTCATATTAATTTGTTTAATTGAATTCAATATTTTGTTTTTAAATAATGTTGCAAATCAATTGTTTTTGTAAGTAGATTAAATAATAAATATTTAAATTCAATTTGAAGAATAATCTAAGTTTGAAAATTATTAACATTGTTTGCAATTTATAATATTTTTGTACATTAGTTTTGAATAGAAAATAGTTTATTTATTTATTTTTTTGTATTATGTGAAAAAGTTGTTTTGCATTCTTTTGTATTTGAGAATATGTATTTCAAACACATGCAAAATAATTAATGCAAGTATTACAATCATTTAAATTTATTAAATAAATATTCTAGGTATATTTTGAATACGGTTATTATTATTTAAATAATAAAAAAATCATGAAATTGATTTGATAAAAATAAATAGTAATTAAAAGATAAAATACCTTTGTCATGTTGTGGATGTTTAGATTTTATATTCTAGCTAGATTCCAGAGCAATGTGTATTAGGTTTTTAAAAAATAATATTTTTCTTTTTACATGTTTTAGATCTGCGAGTAGTTTAAAACATCCATTAATAGTACTCATATTTCATTAAAAACAATATGGTTATAAGAATAAAATTATAAACATTTTTAACAGATAATAAAAAATATTTCACTTTTAAAGTATACAAGTCTTAGGAAATGTAATGATTAATTTATTAAGGTCAGACATTACTTAGGTACTTTATATTTTCCATATTATATTATATCCATTCAAAATTAATTAAAACCTGTTAGGTAAATAAGTATTTACTTAAGTAAGTGAACAATTTTAATGTTAATATCAAATTATAAAGTATAATCAAAAAGTTAAATTAATAATAGATAGTAGAAAATTAAGTATTTAATTTAGTGCAGCAAATTCAATTGTAGTAACCTCTGATACAGTTTCCAATTACTTATCTAAGTACCTAATGTTTGATAATTAAATTCACGACGTAGATTAGAATGTTAAAGGTTTATTGATCTTTATTCAATTTCATGTAACTGTTGGAAGTTTATATAAGCAATGTGTACAACATATTTTGAAGTGTGCTAAATGTTATAAATATTTGTGAATTTTTATTTTTTTTATTCTTGTTAATGTTTTTAATATTTCAATTTTTATTATTTAATTTATTTAACATTGATCACAGATTACTGGTCCATTCACACCAGAGTTAGATTTATGCATCAATTAATATGTGAGTTACTATAACGCTGGTAAATATTTTAATATACTTATGTTGTTTATGCATATTTTCTATACTTTTGTTTCTGTGAAAAAACTACAAAGTAATAAGTTATTTTTAGGCATTTTTAATTATTAAATTAATTTTTACTTTTTGTATTTATTCATTATTATGAATTAACGGCATTCGACTTTTTTTTTTAGAACTACTTTAACTGATAACACTGCTATAATTATAATAAAAAATTATAAAAACTTTTTTTTTAAATTTTTTGGTTCCATTTTGAAATATTTATGAGGTACGTTGAATTGAATTGTCGAGCTCTAGACAAAGTAATTGAACATTAAATTTCATAAATGTTTTACCACAAAACAATATGCAAATTTCCGTGACTTTGTCGAAGTTTAAAATTCTGTGTATAAAAAGAAATGTGTTTTTTTAATATTTTTAAAAAGTTATAATATGGATTTGTATTCATTTTTTCAAATTTTTAATTAAGCAAAAAAATTTTAAAAACTAATTATTGAAAAAAAATTCAAAAAGGCAAAATGTTTATAAATATTTAGAATTTTAAAGTCATTGTATTTGGACAAAACAAACGAGCATTGCTCGTTGTAAAAAAAAGTAGTGCTATGAACAAATGTTATGTATGAAAAATTATTTTTTATTTTTTATTAACTTCGAAACTGATCAAAAAATAGATAGATAATCGATTATATTTTATTAACACGATATAAGCCGAGAATTTAAAAGATAAAAATTCCAAGTGGTAAGTATTTATACCCTGAAGAGTACAGACTAGAATTAATTTAGTGATAATCCATATAATATGCTGTGAACTCAGCTGCACGTGAATATAACTGAAAGACGCTAACAAAATGGTATTTGAGGGTATCCCTGATAAGTTTCTTAACTGTCAGAACTTTATAGATTTCGTGGTTCTAATTATTAAAGACCTTTAGATATTAAACACAATAAATAAGGCAGCATTTTGGCATTTTATAGAGCTTGATTGATTAGATAACGCTCGATGAATAAATATATTATTTTAGTATACATTTTTTTTTCGGTATATTTATATTGCATATTATTATGTTAACGCATATTTATTATTTATTAATATTTTATTATATAATAAAATAGTATATCATACCTAGTGATAAGATAAACATAAAAATATATATCATCTATAGAAATATAGAATACCTAGTTTATAGAATCGTTAATAGTAATTTTATCGTATTATCAATTATGCCGTTTCATTGCTTCCGGCTATAGCGATATACACTTTTAGATTCATCCGTTAAGTCATCGTTAAACAAAATTAAAATCCAGAAAATTCTCTCTATACAAAATAATTTGAAAAAGGATTTTGAGCTGTGATATCTGCCTACATTTCTAAGAGTATGTTATCAAACGTTTATATAAACATAGCAGTACTAATTATTGCCAATAACTTTTAAAATAACAGTAGCGTTAGGTTCAAGAAGAATAAAATGTGTAAACAAAACTTATTTCTAATTTATTGTTTTATAAAATCCTTTAATGTATCCTTTACAATTTAGATTGACATTGGATTATCTCCACTTGGAATTGTTTTCAAATTTAACACATTAATACATTACAGTTATCTATTGGTACTCAATAACAAGATATACTTAAAACAGTTGAAATCCAGCAAAATTAAATTGGATAGGTAAGTACCTCCTATTTATTAGTTTTTTACACGATTTTTATGTTATAAACATGAATATATTTTAAACATTTTTCTGCATTGTTTAAATATTCATCAGTAGGACAACATTCTTATAATGGACCGAAGACTAATGAATATAATTTTATTGGGCATAGGATTTATGTTCGTGTTTACATCTTATATGACTGTCAGCAATATCGAGGTAATAATTCTATTAAAAAATTGATATAAATATATTATAGCTTAATAATACAGCTATGAAAAATGTAGGTATATCTATATATATATCTATATATATATATAATAACCCAGCATTATAATTCGAAATAAAAATAATTATTCATAATACGTATTATAATTTATTATGTTAATTTCAGAAAACAGTATTGAAAAGTATTGAAAAAGAAGACCCCTCATTTACCGGCGATGGGTACACAAGTCAGTGTATCATATATGGCGTGTTTGCTCTATGCAACTGGTTGGCACCGACAATAATTGGTATTATTGGTAGCAGGAAATCTATTTACTTGGGATCGATATGTTACGTGTACGTCTATACTGAAATATTTACATTATAATTTTAAGTAGTCGAATAGTTAAAACTGAATATACATCCTATTTATGATATTATACCATATAGACGCATTTTATGTATCGTATACTTAATTTTAATATTTACAGATTATTTTTGATGCCGTTTTTCTTGTCGTCTACATTTCTGCTGTACACAATGTCTGCGTTGCTGGGTTTCGGTGCGTCATTAATTTGGACAGGACAGGGCATTTACCTTACTTTGAATTCAGACTCATCGACTATATCTAGAAATTCAGGAATATTTTGGGCCATGTCAAAAATGAGGTAATTTTATTTTGTGATGTACTAGTAGTGGTATCTATTAATAAAGAATTTGAACGGTTAGAATTGAAAGAAAAAAATTTAATTTGTTAAAATTTTAGATATTATCTACAAACACCTTTTAATATGTTTTGAAAAAGTTTAAGTTTTAAAAAAAAATAAAATATAAGATACCACCTTAAGTTTGGCTTAAATATACTAAAAAATTTCATTGTGAAAATTTAAATTTAATAAAAATGCATTGTAGAGGGGAAATGGGGGTCACCACGCTTAATGAATCATTTGACTACATACTATAATAGTTTCAGAACCAATAATTCAGGTCAATAATATAGATGATATTAAATAACACAACAATTATTGCAGACACAAGTTTCGTTATCATAATACTAATTTCGGACATCCAGGTAATAAAAATCGCATTAGTTACACAAATATTTCCCTTACCACTTTTTTAGGAGTTGGACAAGCCATTAAATATTTTTATTTTAAAAAAGAGCAATGGTTATTAAAATATTTTCTTAAAGAATATTTATTTAAGTCATAGATTGTGAATTTTTTTTTTTATAAATATTATAGATTTTGTGGTAAATTATTTTTGAAATGACCTGTATAAATAATAATATAATTATTTCACCTAAATATTGCGACATTAGATTGTTTGATAAAAGAGGGCAGACTCCAAGTTGAAAGAGGTAATTTTTTAAAGGAAAAGCGGATTGGCTAAAATTTTCTCCCCCATTAATGTTAGACTTCTAGCTATACAATAGTGATAATTATCACCTGTATAATTTTATTGTATATGACTGCCGTGACGTGTTAATATACATCCATATATGTATTCATATATAAATATATATATTATATTAACATATTATTTTGTTTTTCACATCTCATTTTTTTACAGCATATGTATCGGAAATGTTTTTATGATATTGGTGTTCTGTGACCAGACTGAGTTTAACAAATTCACCAGAATTTTGATATTTACCGTGATGGCAGTGGTGTGTAGTTTTGGGACGCTTATATTGATGGTCTTGCGTCCGCCCGTGGACGCCGAAGGCAAGAAAAACGAAGTAAATTTATGGAAATCAAACAGTATGAATCCAAAACAAAAAATTAAGGGTTCAGTGAGGCTTTTGATGACTAAACACATGCTTATGCTGAGTATATTATTTTTGTTTACCGGTAAGGTGAAACATACAATATTCGTGACATAAATAGTTAAACATAAGCTCTTCATTGGTATTATTATAGTATTTATTGATAGCTGGTTTCTGTTTTTTTATAGTTTTTATTTATTTTTTTTTAAAGTTACGTAACTGAAAAATTTTGTTATGCGAATACCTACACTACGAGTAAACAAGTCCAAAACCAAATCGGTATGAAAATTTAAATTAGGATTTTCATTTTATTTTGTTTTATGAACTTAAGAATAAGTTATATAAAATTAATATGTAAGATTAGTTATTATTCTAAGATATAAATAAAATATATTGTTATTAATCAATAAAATTAATAAAAATATGCTTAATTATACAATTAGAACAAGAAACTTAAGCTCAGCTTTTAAATTACATACTCGTACATAAGTATTTACATTAGTATATTATACCAGACTTGCGATTAATTTTTATCTTAAAATATTTCTAATTAAGATACCTATACTTTATTCGCGATAAACCGGAACACATTGCGCATCCTTATTGATCAAGTATGGGAGCTCCATTAGAAATCATCTCTCCATCGATTAAAACTATTTTATATGCAGAGTTCAAATAAATTGTCATGTAATGCGGAATGTGTTCAAACACAACATATAAACATAGATCGAAATCATTAGAGTAAAACGACACATTCTATAACTTTCCACCACTCTAAAACAGCAAGTGATAAGTAGGCGTAATATAGATGGTTAGTAGTTTGGAAATGAAAAGTTTTCGTCACTCACTACGTCCGGTCACTCGGCGAACAAGGTATAGCTATAATTTAGTTCAAAAATACTCATTCTCTTTTCTAAAAAAAGGTTTCTAAGTGATAATCGAAAAAATAAGAAAATATTTTAACTATAAAAAGTAACAGAGCATAATAATATTATGGTCTACAACCAGAAACTATTTTTGCATTATTATGACATAGATAATTGCTGTATTTTTTTGTAGTACGCAGTTTTAATACCTACCATTATTCGTTTATAGTTCATCATAGTTCCTTCTACCACTAAAAAAGTTTTGTTTCTTCTTTTGTTTTAAATTATAACAAATTTAACTTTCTCATAGGTCTGACCATATCTTTCAACAATAGTGTATACAGTTCGAGTATTGCGTTCACTAAGTCTATCAGCACTAATAGCAAACAACTAATAGGTTACACAGCACTAGTGGGCGGAGTGGGCGAAGTCATAGGTACACGTTAATTAATATTTAATGTATTGAATGCATTATTGCATTATACATATTCTATATAATGGGATATACATTTTACCTAATTGTGATTCATTCGAAATGGTTACAGGTAGTTTATTGTGCAGCATTTTAGGTAAAAAGTCATCGAGATCCAGTTCAAAGTTCAGTGGTCTAAGTCGTTCGACTATGATAATTATCAGTTTTTTCATTAACATCGTAGCGTACGGCTTGATCTTTGTAAATTTACCAAATGATTCTCCATTCGGCGATACTTACACAAAATCGATTATCAAACCTAAGTATGACTTTTTTTTTTTAAATTCATCAACTAACATTTTTGATAAGCTATTATATTATTTTCCTATATTACAGTGTACCTATGTTATTAGTTACTCATTTTTGAACAATCTGAAAATGATGTCGATAATTGTGGCAAATAGTACCTACTGTAATAATTATTTATTTTCAACGATATTTAATTTAGCGTTATTAAGAATAATAGTTATTAGTTAGTAATAACATAATATGATATAATATAAATAATATAATATTTATTTATAAATTATATTTAAAATATAATGAATGATGACATATATCTATATAATTAGAAAATATAATTATTACGTTTGTTCTTATCGGCTTTCTTACAATGGGGTAGTTCACTTATTTTATGTGACATGTATGATTTTAATGTTTATTGTGTAATTGTGGAATATCATAGTCTATAAGATATGTTCCTTTATCTACCATTAAATATTATATTATTTAACTAGCCGATTCGACACGGCTTCGCCCGCGATTGGTCGAGTATTTTACCTTCAGACGATGATTTGTTTAAAAATGTATAAAAAACGGTTAATAGAAACGTAATGAAAGTATGTTTCTAGAGGTATTAATGACAAACAAATTTTTAAAGCGTTGGAATATTTAAATAATCAATTTCTGATCGGTAATTAAATGCTGATTTCAGACTCATAGGGTTAAGTCATTGCTTATGCAAGTCTTTGAGAACGATCTGGTGCATTCTCTTGTTGCCTTCTGTTATACATTGGAGTAGTATTAGCCGTTCTTCTGCCAATGCGTGCTCTTGGCGCTCTTGACATGATTATGAATTGGCAACTACACGAAATTTAACTCCTTTTTTTTTTTTTTTTTATGTGTTCATTATGATAACGAAAATGTCCTATAAAGTTAAAAAATAAATAGTTATTCTAACGTATAAATTGTATACCGTTTTTATATGTAGCACAAAAAATAACATACCGTTGACATGAAAATCAATTAACATACTTATTTTAAAGCGTTATATTATTATCTATATTTTTTTTTAATTTTTCAAACTTTTAATATTTTTTTAACATTATAATTATTTGTTATTAATAAAAGTGACACTAAAATCTTCAGCAGGCTATCAGGTATAACAGTAACAAATTTTATCTAAATCGTTCAGTGGGTAGTTTTCTCAGTTAGCGCAGTCGTTAAAAATCCTTTACAATTTTATATAGTAGTATAGATTGATAGATTATTGCCAATAACAAAGGCTATTGTAGAAAACTCTCAAATTGTACACTTTACTCGTAACATCTGTTTATGTATGTACCAGATGATTCATTTAACATAAAACATTTATTGTTTAAAACTATGAATGTTTTTTACAATAATTTTTCACCACACAACTTTTAGTTGTTAAAAATAAAAATAATATATTACTATTAAGCATATCTATTATTATTTGCAGTCAATACTTAGCTATATTTTGCGGTTTCCTCTTGGGTTTAGGAGGCAGTGGTTTTAACACGCAAATATATAATGTGATTGGAACGAAGTATTCAAGTAACGTTGTTTCTACCGTATCATTGTTCATGTTTATGCAGGTAATATACCTTAAATCGAGTAATATTACTTGAAGCCTTTTTCTTTTTTTTTTTATAATGTAAACTGATTGTTTTGCAGTCCACGTCAGCAGCGATTAGCTTCTTTTACAGTAATCAGTTTGGAATCTATGTACAACTTATCATATTGACAATCGTAATGACCATCGGTACTTTATCGTATATTGTTGTGGACAAAAGTGTTTCCATTAAATGATTTAAGAATAAGAACGATGAAAATACTCAAATTTCAACACGTTACTCACGTTTAAGTGTATAACGTTATTGATAATATTATAAAATACTTATTGACTGATGGTATTTTTTTTATTTTATAATAATATAGAATAATTTAGAAAATAAAATCATAAATTAAGTTCAAGTCTTAAAAATGCCAATGCATCTTTGAAAACCAGTTACCATATTGAGATTGAACTTTTAAAATTATGAGTCAACTAATATTTAAAAAAACAGATTTTAAAAGTCAAAACTATAACTACATTATTTACTTTATGTCTTCCATATTTTATTATAACCATTCCTAATTCATTAAAACCTGTTAGGTAAATAAATATTTACTTAAAAAAGTGAAATTTTTTTTTTTTATATAACGGGACGTGCCCAATTACATAGAATAGTAAGCATAATAGAAGGATACATAAATTACAATACTATAAAAAAAAAATATATATATATATATATATATATTAGATATTGAGCAAACTAACATAATAACTAAGAAAAATGTTACATAAAATACAAGTATAAATATTAAAATATAGAGCAAACAGACAATAATTAGTGCCAATCACTCAGGAATAGTGGGTTCTCATTGGCTAGTTTCGTCATACGGACAATAGGACGATTTTTTAGGTAGTTACAGGTAAAATTTTATTGTTTATATAAAATTATAAATTATGATAACAAATTTATATATTTGTAATAGCAGGTAAATAGGTGATTAATTTAGTGCAACAAATCCAACTATATTAACCTCTGATACAGTTTCAAATTAATTATCTGAGAAATGTTTTATAATTAAATTCACAACGTAGATTAGAATGTAAAAGGTTTATTGGTCTTTGTTCGATTTCATGTAACTTTTGGAATTATATATGCGAGTAATGTATATAACATATTCAGAAGTGTGTTAAATGTTATAAATATTTGTGAATTTTTATTTTTTTTATTCTTGTTAATGTTTTTAATGTTTTAATTTGTATTATTTGATTTATTTAATATTGACCACAAACTACTGGTATTATTCAAACCATAGAATAAAGTTTATGTGTTAAGTACTCAAGTATTATGCGAGTTACTATAATAATTGATAATAATTTAAACAACTCTATACATTATATTTTATTTTGTGAACTAACAACAAATATTAAGTTTTTTTAGACATATGTCATTTAATTAATAGTTCTTAAATAATTTATACATAAAAACTACTTCGACTAGTAACACTGCCATAATATCATAAAAACAAAATTATAATTATCTTTTTTTTAGATTATTGGTTCCATAATGAACAATTTATGAGAAATATTAAATTCAATTATTAAGGCCTGGCTAAATATATTGAATATTTTATAAATGTTAAACTATTACACAATTTGCAAATTTCGGTGGTTTTGTTAAAAGTTTTAAATTCAACAGCATATACTCGTAAATAAAGTGTGTTTCTTTAATATTTTTAAATAGTTATAAAAAGAACTTGTATTAATTTTTCAAAGTTTCCGATGAATAAAAGTTATTTTATCGACTACGTATAATTATTTAAAAAAATCAAAAATGCGAAATTTCTATAAATACTTAGAATTTTAAGATTTAAATTTAAAAAGTCATTGTTTTTTATATAACGAAGGTCCGTGGTTTTTTGTAAAGAAATTTGCACATTATTGGAAGAGTCATAAATAATTTTTACGTACGAAAAATATTATTATTTTTAGTTTTTGTTGACTTCAAAACTATTCGAAAAATAGATAGATAATAAAATAAATACAATAATAGATAGATAATCTATTAAATTTTATCAACACATATTAGGTCGACATAATGTAAAAGATAAAAGTTTTAAGCAACTCGGTATGAAATGTTCAGGTTCTCAATCAATTTTATAGTTTTAAATTGGCGGTTTGATCATTTCTGATGAATTAGTTAATTTAAAGAGTGATTTAACCACTGTTTTACTCAATAATAATTTTTAAATTCAATATTTTAGGTTCTGAGCAGGACGAAAAATGTATAAATTTTACGATAATGTGTATTCAGTGGCGTGTCATGCGTGTCATGCATGTGTGCGATGTGTGCAAATGCCACGGGCCCTCGGCTTGGGGCGGCCCATATTGCTCAACGTTCCACAAAAGAAAAAAATTAAATAAATACAGTTATTTACGAAAAAATAAAAAAATTGTTTTCAATTTCAAATGGTTCTTATTTTCTCAATCTGATATCAGTATAGTATCATCTTTGTTATAAAATATAGATATTGTATTTTTGTGATGTACTGTACTTCTGTGACGGCAACTAAACGTGATTTACAGCAATCTGTTTCCCGTTTTTTTTTTGTTATCGCCTTGTCGTTTATAAGCCGCGTCGTATTATAGACAATTTTATCGTTCAGATCTTGTTTTATAAAAGAAATTACGAAACGAACATCGATTAAAGAAATTACCGAATTACTTGTTATAAAGAACCCCACATTAGCAACAACATTTTCTGAAATATGTACAGCGTGCATGTTATTTTTGACACTTCCTGTAACAGTTACTAAAGCGGAACGATCATTTTCAAAATTAAAACTGATCAAAAATTATTTACGGAGTACAATGTGTGAAGAAAGATTCAGAGGATTTGGAATCTATTGAAAACGACTGAGCTCGTCAGTTAAATTTAAAAGAAATAATTAATAATTTGCAGAAAAAAAAAACATGCAAACGAAATTTTCATTAAATTATTATACTCGTATTATTATTAGGTACTATATTCTTATCATTATTAATATCTATATTATGTTATTTTATTTTATATGACGTAATATCAACTTATTTTTTATGTAACTGAAATTTTAATAAAAATAAAAAGTACCTTGTGAATTTGCATAAGAATTTTAGAATAATAATTTTTTCTTTAAATTTGAATAATGTAGATATATCTACATTTAGAATAAAAAAAATTAAGGGGGGCCTTTTTAAGGTTTGCACACAGGCCCATCTTTGGGATAAACCTTCACTGTATGTATTTCTTTAATTTTTATTTTTATATCGCTATTATACTTATTGGGACAGAAAAAATATTTTAATTTTCAACTCAACGGATGGTTTCTGGTAAAAATTGAACCAAGTTGGTACTTTAGGAGGTTAAAACTAAAAAATGTAGGTAAGTGATGGGTACCACTCTAGTACTCTGCGCTATATATTAGGTGTCGAGTGAAATTTGTAATTGCGTAAATCGTTAACATAGATTTTTTTCAATTTGAACTGAATGATAACCCATAGTATACGATAAAAATAGATGCTAAGTAAAGATTGTCTAAATTTTTGTTAACCACACGGTGAAAAAATAATTATTTTAATGATAATAATGAAGATTCAATTTTTTATCCAAAATCACTCTTAAACTGAAAAATGAAGCATTCTTTTGACTACTTGTCGTGTGCAAATTATGGCAAAATAATTTTTCCATTCAGAACTTAAATTTACTAGTACTTTTCTTAATAATTGGGAAAAACAAAAAAAAAAAAAAATTGACCGAAAAATGGAATTTTTACTTTAAACCGATTTTAGCCAAAATTATTTATTTATTTTTTTTATATAATCAAAAATGATAGAAATTTTCAAGTATAAATTTTTTAATTTATAAGGTTTTGAAATATTTTGTATACGATTTTGCAAATTTAGTTTTTCAATATACGATTCTGCATGGTTTTAATTGTTAAAAATGGAATGTTTACAATATCGTCCATATTATTATTATTTTATATGCGTATAAACAATTATGTATATTATTTTAACGTACATATATAATTTTGGAAATTAACGATTCTGTCATTTTGAATACATAGGTTTCGGAAAAACTTATTTTTAGTATAGATTTTACAAATTATTGGAATTATTGTATTTGATAATCTGACTGGGACTTATAACTTATTTTGTAACGATTAAAGATAAATTTTGGAATCAAGACAGGTTTTAATATTCAAAGATCAGCCTTTTGAAATTACCTTTATTTTCATACAAAAACGTCCTGTTTTATTGTATGACTGTGAGATTAAAATGTAGTATTAAATGCAGTAAAATGAGTATTTTATACTCTACTGATTATAAAATTTGTTTCTTAATTCTCAGAACTTTACTTATCTCGTGGTTGTAATTATTTGCAACTTTTAGATTAAATACAGTAAATAGTTATAGGACGTATTTAAGTAGTATTTTTTACATTATATAGAGCTTAATTGATTAGATAACGCTCGATGAATAAAATTAACCAATTCTTTATGTGCTATATTGCAGTATATAATTTTTTTTAATAAGCATATTTGTTCACACATATTTATTAATTATTAGTAATAATATTATCAATATTATCATTAGGTATATAATAAAAATAGTATCGTACCTAGTGATAATCTATACATATAATTTTGTAAAATTATAGAATGGTTAATACTTTATGGTAGGTACTCTAATATTTTTTAATATGATTTGAATTAAGCTTAATCATATAATCAATTATGCTGTTAAATTTTTACCAGCTAAATAATATTAAAAGTTTATAGTGGATACTTTTGCATATTTAATTATTTTGTAATTTTAAGAGCATATTTTGCAATTATACCATTTTTCATAGCATATTTGATGATTAATGATATATTTATAACACAATTTAAAATTTGATAAAAAAAAAAAAAAAAATACGTAATTATTTATTATATTTTATTTTAAGGATTTTCACTAGGTATTATTATATCGTATTTTTTAAATCCTTAGTTATAAAATACAATTTCCTGATTTGATTTATAAATATTTAGTACAAATTATAAAATATAAAAATATTTTAACAAAATATTTGTGCTTGTGAAAATTGTGAGTAGAAAAAATAATAAGTGCATGCATATTTAATACCTTTTGAGTTAATTAAGTTTCAAGCCCTAATAGTGATAAAATGATTTATCGAAAATTGTAACGCTGCTACTCAGCACGCGACAAATATAATGTTTATACGACTATACTTCTGGCGTTATTTTAGATTTTTCTTTCGAAGCGAAGTTAATCAAAGTTAAATGCAATACTGTAATGAAGACTGTTACAACCAATAAAGATGGTTGCTGAAAAAATGAAAATAATATTACTATTAGAGATTTCTTAGAAACTACGGATACTTTTAAAATGTTTTTTTTTAAATTGTTATGTTAAGTCAGTTGATACTTATTTACTATAACAGTACTGCATCCATGGAATAAATTTGTAATTATAATTTAAAATATTGTTGTTATACATGCTCACATAGTGCACACTGCACATAAACATTTTGGTAATGTATACCAATAATTTATAAATTGTTCATTTTTTAATTGTAACTAATAAAATCAATAAAGTCAAAAACTGATTTGGTTAAGGAAAATTATATTCCTAGTTCATCAACATTATATTTGAAAAATTTTCTGGAAAATTTTGTTGTTTCATTCAGAATTTAAAACATGATATTATTTAATTATTTAATTATTTATTATTTATTTTATTATAAATTACTTTCTAAGTACACGTCATTTTTCATCTTATTACAGATAATTACAATACCTACTGTGAGAAATCAAAGATTATTAGAGCTGGAACCCCTTAAACATAGAAATTAAATTATTAAATATTGATGCTTGAATTAGTCTGATGCTACAGACTTTTTTTTATATTTTAAAGTACATAATTTTTAACATAAATATAATTTAAAAAAAAATATATACGTATATTTATATATACAGTAGTTTTTTTAATTTAATGGTAAAAGTCCTATAACCATTCAACTTAGACATAGTTTTGGGGCAGCAGTGGCCACGGCATAAATACATCATTGATCATATGGTGCGATATTAGTAAGTCATGACTTACTAAGTTATTTATATTTTATATACAAACGTATATATATTGAAATAAGTTTTTGATGTAAATTGTTCCGATTTAGACCATTTTCATTAAAATAATAATTTTATTTTGCATATTTTGCATATTTCAACGGTTTTAGCTATTAAATGCATATTTATTGCATTTTTCTAGTTTTGAAGTGCATATTAATATTTATAGTTGATATATTTGTTTTTCGTCGTATTTTTACGTTTACAGCTACATAATATTCATAGAATTACAACTGGTCGGTGTTACCAAAGATAAAATGACATACTCAAAAAAACATATGTATATATATTAAATTAATATAGATAAATTCGTTGTTCTTATAATAAAATTGAGTTCAAGTGTTCGAAGATAAACGATCAGTTACGTTTAGAATTGTGTCGGATTTTGTGTCTAGTGATTTTTATTATAATTTTGATTTGTAACTTTAAAATGCCTTGAGTAAAAACAACAATTAGACGTCGTTTACAGACATACGTAAATAAGCATAAAGATATTTTTAAAACTGATGGTTAAATTTTGTATTGTAATATTTATTTGAGTTAATATAATAATAATTTATGATATAAAATTATAATAATTTTCATGTAAGAAATATTACGTATAACATGCGTTGCTATATTTTAATAATAAAAAAATAAGTGATTTGTAACTAATAATTTTATTAATTATTGTTAATATATCTTTAGAAATTTAGATTCATGTTTGACAGTCTCTACTTGGAATTGTTTTCAAATTTAACATATAGATATTACAGTTACTTATACTAGATAGTCGATATACTTGAAACAGTTGAAACCAGCACAATAATTTACGTAGGTACCTAATTTTTATTTCTTTGTATAATTTTTTTGTTATATATACAAAAAAAAAAACATTTCTTGCTTTATTTAGATATTCATCATTATAACAACATTTCTAAAATGGACAGAAGGTTAATGAATATAATTATATCGGGCTTTGGATTTATGTTTGTATTTGCATCTTTTTTTACCGTGAGCAATATCGAGGTAATAACACTATTAAAATATTAATATACATTATTATAGCTTAATAATACAGCTATGAAAAATGTAGATATATAACCCATCTTTAATAATTTGCAATTACACAAGTTATTTTAAAATACCTACAATGCGTATATTTCTAGGTAAAATTTAGAAAATATTTGAGAAATTAGTACAAACATTTTTACGTTTTAGACATAATCTATACGTAATAACTAAATTAGTAGAACATAGTTTTAATAATGTTTTTATACGAAAACATAGACACATTATTACGAAACAATTTATTTAAAATTTGAAAATCAATAAATTAATAATTATATAACACCATCAACATAATATTCATATTTTATACCTCCACGTACAAAGAATATTTGTGAAATAATATTACATATATTACAGGTTTTATAATCTTTTATGTTGATTTCAGGAAACAGTATTGAAAATTATTGAAAAAGAAGACCCCTCATTTACCGGCGATGGGTACACAAGTCAATGTATCATATATAGCGTGTTTGCTCTATGCAACTGGTTGGCACCGACAATAATTGGTATGATTGGTAGCAGGAAATCTATTTACTTGGGATCGATATGTTACGTGTACGTCTATACTAAAATATTTACATTATAATTTTAAGTAGTCGAGTAGTTAAAACTGAAGATATAGCCTATTCATAATATTATACCATATAGGCGCATTTTATGTATCGTATACTTAATTGTAATATTTACAGATTATTTTTGATGCCGTTTTTCTTGCCGTCCAAATTTCTGCTGTACACAATATCTGCGTTGTTGGGTTTCGGTGCGTCATTAATTTGGACAGGACAGGGCACTTACCTTACTTTGAATTCAGACTCATCGACTATATCTAGAAATTCAGGAATATTTTGGGCCATGTCGACAATAAGGTATTTTTATGTTATGTTATTTCGAAGTGTTATCTATTAATAAACAAATGTAAATTTAAATAATTAGAATTGAAATTAAAAATTAAATTTAATATGCAAATATCTTATAATATGGTTTAAAAAATTTTAAGTTTTGTTTATGTATATATATAAAATAGGATTTTCAAAGTTTAATTTAAATATATTATATATTGAAAAGCGTCATTCCAAAAATTAGAATTTGATAAAAATGTATGGTTAAAGAAAAATGGAGGTGAGTGCGCTTGATAAATCATTTGGTTACATACTAATTGTACCAGTTGTGGATGAATAAGTTAGGTCATTAATAGAACATAACAATTATTGTGGATACGAGTTAGTATTATGGTAGCGATACCATAATACTAATTGCGAAAATCGAAGTAATAAAATTTCGTGAATTGAGTAACAGTACGCCGGAAGTTGGTGGGTTGTCCGTAATTTTTATAATTGATAGAGCATTATGTTTTCCGTATTATATTATATTCCTTTTTTCACATGTTAACTAAAATGTGATATGCACAAAATATTGGGTGAAGGGTTTGGCCGCTGTCACTGCATTGACCAGGCTCGACAAAATGGCCATCGTGACTAGGTGAGACATGTTAAACCTACTGAATACTTACTGAATGATGAATTGTGTACGGGAACAAAGATACTTGATAAGGTGGCCAGAGGGGAATTAATGACTGGTGGGTGATCCTTTTAGTGTTGCATTCGTTTTATATGTTGTTGGCGAAGCGTTATCGCAACGTTTGGTTAGGTTATGTTTTCCGCAATCAAAAAATATCGGAATTACATGACAACCATAAACAGTGTTCTTTGCATTAAGTGGCTAAAAAACCAGTAAGTAACAAAATTAATTTTGATCTCCACCTGTTTTACGAAACATGTCGCCCATTTTCCTAGGATAATGTGCTGGTTAGTTGATAATTGTTTATACATTCAACAGCCACCAGAATACTCATGAGTTTGTTATATTTACATATTTGTTGTTTAATAAGAGTCCAGATTTGGAAGTTGAAATGGGTGATTTTTCAAAGGAAAAGCGGGTTGGCTAGAATGTCCTCCCCATAAATGTAAGACTTCTAGCTATAATAGTGAATATTATCACCTGTATAATTTTATTGTATATGACTGTCGTGACATGTAAATATATATATATGTATTTAAATATTATTTTGTTTTTCACATCTCATTTGTTTACAGCATCTCTATCGGAAATGTTTTTATGATATTGGTGTTCCGTAACAAGACTGAGTTTAACAAATCCACCAGAACTTTGGTATTCACCGTGCTGGCAGTGGTGTGCGGTTTTGGTACGTTTATACTGATGGTCTTGCGTCCACCCGTGGACGCCGAAGGCAAGGAAAACGAAGTAAATTTATGGAAATCAAACAGTATGAATCCAAAACAAAAAATTAAGGATTCAGTGAGGCTTTTGATGACTAAGCACATGCTTATGCTAAGCACATTATTTTTGTTTACCGGTAAGGTGAAACATACAATATTCGTGACATAAATAGTTATGCATAAGGTCTTTATTGGCATTATTATAGTATTTATTGGTTCCTGGTTTTTGTTTTTTCTAAAGTTTTTTAAAAAAAATGTAACTTAACTTACGTAACTGAGAAATTATGTGATGTGAATATCTACACTACGAGTAAATAAGTCCAAAACAAAATTGGTATGAAAATTTAATTTAGGATTTTGATTTATTTTGTTTTATGAACTTAAGAATCAGTTCTATAAAATTAAAAATTATACATAAGGTTAGTTATAGTTATAAGATATAAATTAAATATTATATAATTATTAATTGTTAAATAAAAATATACTTAATTTTATTATACAACTAGAACTAGACACTTGAACTTAGCTTTTAAGTTTCATTTATAGGCACCTACACTATTATATATCAGGCATGTAATCAATTTTCATCTTAATATATTTCTAATTTAGATACCTATACTCTGTTCACTGATAGACCGGACTACTTTGTGCATCTCTATCGAAAGAAATACGGGCTAAATCCGTTAAAAATCCTCTCTCCGCCGATTAAAATTATTATATAATATCTAAAGTGAGTTCAAATAAATGTATTTGAGTTATTTATTAGTGTATTTAAAAAAAATTAATCAATTTTAAAATTTGTTAGATAACGGACCAAAAATTATTTTTGCATTGTTTTGACATAGATAATTGCTGAATTTTTTTTTTTTTTTTTAATACAGCGTTAATACCTATTCCTCTTACCACTTAAAAGTTTTTTTCTAATTATAACAAACTTTGCTTGTTATAGGTCTGCATATATCGTTCTACAGTGGTGTATACAGTTCATGTATTGCGTTCACTAAGTCTATTAGCACTAATAACGAACAATTGTTAGGTTACACGGGACTACTGGTCGGAGTCGGCGAAGTTATAGGTATGGATAAACATTAATTACTATTAAATATATTAAATACATTGTATATAATAAATATTATGAGGTATGAATTGTACCTGATTGTGATCCATTCGCAATGATTACAGGTGGTTCATTGTGCAGCATTTTAGGTAAAAAGTCATCAAGATCTAATTCAAAGTTCAATGGTCTAAGTCGTTCGACTGTGATAATTATAAGTTTTTTCATTAACATCGTAGCGTACGGCTTGATATTTGTAAATTTACCAAATGATTCTCCATTCGGCGATACTTACACAAAATCGATTATCAAGCCTAAGTATGACATTTTTTTTTTTTAAATTCATCAACTAACATTTTTGGTAAACTATTATATTAATTTTCTATATTACAGTGTTACCTGTATCATCAAATATTTTTCAGTGTACCATAATAATTATTTATTTACAATGATATTTTATTTAGCATTCTAATAATATAATTGTGCATAACATAATATTTTATAAATATAATATAAATGTTAGGGGCAAACTATACAATTTGAGCATTTTCAACAATTCCTGAGTATTAAATAAAGCTTCCTTCATGTGTGGGATATAGTTTTTAATATAAATAATATAATATTGAATTGTAAATTATATTTATATTATTTAAAAAAATAATAATTATATTTGAAGTTATCAGTTTTACAATGAGGTAGTCCACATATTATATGTGACATAATTATTGTATGATTGTGATGTTTATCGTATGATGCCATAATCGATAATATATGTTACAAATACGGGTTAATTATTGTAAAATTAATTAAATAATAACTGCAAATTGTTTATATATTGTAGTTTAATTGCGTATCTACCTATAATTATCTACAAAAATGGAAAATTTTAATATCGTAGATTTAAAATTTAAATGATTGGTTAAAAAAAGATTTATAAGGTAATTTAAAAAAAAAAGATTTTTAAAGTTGATGATATGCTACAAACCTAAATTTCATTCTAAGAGATAGCACAAACATTTTCCATTTTCAATGGACAGGGCTACAATCGATGTACGTGTGGACAAGAATGTAAAACATGACAAGTGCAAAGTAACAGAGCATGTAAAATGCCACGGAAGCAGTACATGCCACAATAAGTGGTATAAAAATAAAAAATATTATTATATTTTGATTATACTGTACGATTAAATATAATATTATATATATTGCACAATATGACTATAGAGTTAATTGGATATTGTAGAAAACGATCAAATTGTATACTTTGTGCCCGTAATATATGTTATTTATCTATACCAGATAGTTCATTTAACGTAAAGCATTTATTGTTTAAAACTATAAAATTTTTTGAAAATAAATTTTTACACAATTTCTAGTAAGTATTAAAAAAAATAAATATATTCTATGTGTAAAAAATGTGTCTTATTTGTAGGGGTACATTATCGTAAATTATTTACTTTTTACTATATCATTTTCACAAAATTTATCCGATTAGATAGAAAATATAATTTGTATGTGATTTTTTTTAAGTAACTGTCTCTGTTCAGTTTGTTCATTATTGAAATAACCAAGATAATGATTCCTCATCGACTCTTTTGTTTCGGATAAGACACGTATTTTGTTTTTATAAATAGTACTCATTGTAATTATTTTCTATTTTTTTTTTATCTTAATTACTATTAAGTATACTATTATTTACAGTCAACACCTGGCTGTATTTTGCAGTTTCCTCTTGGGTTTAGGAGACAGTGGTTTTAACACGCAAATATATAATATGATCGGAGTCAAGTATTCGGATAACAGTGCTTCTGCCACGTCATTATTGATGTTTATGCAGGTAATTTATCTTAAATCGAGCAATTTTACTTGATGCCTTTTGTTCTTTTTTTCATAATGTAAACTGACTGTTTTGCAGGCAACATCAGCAGCCATTAACTTCTTTTACAGCAATCAATTTGGAATCTATATACAACTTATCATATTGACAATCGTAATGACCATCGGTACTTTATCGTATATTGTTGTGGACAAAAGTGTTACCCATTAAATGATTTAAGAACAAGAACGATAAAAATTTTCAAATTTAATTAGAAAAAATATTTTCGGTTTTAACTCTTGGGTTATATTCGTATTATGATAAAATTGATGACTCGTGTTTATACCGATAATAATAATTTCAGTATACAGTAATTATTATTTGTCAGAAGATAGTACAACTTTTTTTTTAAGTGGATCATGTTTTACATTTTTAAATACTTTCTATTCTAAGTTAATTGAATTTTATTAAGAAATAATTATTGCATAAAATTTACCTGAATATTTTTGAATTAGCTTACACTCAAATCGAGTTATAATAAATTGTATGTTCAAAACAATCGATAATAATAATTATTATTCTACAGTTTACATGGTTTTTATAGTGTATTATATACTTATACTCAAATTCTATGAAATATCAATAAGTCAATATGATTTCATATGTTTTAATGTTTGCGTGTACTCAGTTGGTAACAAGCAAAGGCAATGAGGGACATATTTTTATATGTGTGTACTTGAAGACAGTGATCAATGATTATTTTCATTTGAGAATTTAAAAGCTATTGTTGCAAAGTGGTTTTTTCGTCAAAAATGACTTCAAATATTTCTAATAAAAGTATAATGTACATTATTATTTTTATAAGTATCAATATTGTATCCATAAAGTGTTTATACCGTGAGTAAAATTGTTTATTTAAACTTAACTATATAAATAATAATACTATTTTATTTTGTATTTTTTTTTTATTTATTTAAATTTAGATATTTAAATAGATGTTTGAATTTCGAAATTATAAATAAAGCAAATAGCCACAGAATTATCCTTAAATGGTATAATAATCTCGAGTATTTGAAAATATTTTCTTTTAGTGTGTTTAAAAATAATAAAAAACAGATTTTGAATAACTCTATTATTATAGGAAAAGGGGGATAAAGTGTAAAATTTTGTTAAGTACCTCAAATTATTAATAATTAATTATAATTTCAAATTTAACAATGTATGGAACAATTATTATAATTTAATTATATTTAATAAAATTAATAAGATCCAATTGTACAATTCTAAACGGCACGATAATATATTAATTTTTGTAAATTAATTCATTTAAGTAATAAATCATTTCTAACATGTTTTTCAGAACCAATTTCAATTAAAACATTTCATACAGATGAAACTCATCTTCTTTATATAAACTATTTGAATGAGGAAAATAAACTAAGTAAGATTTTTATAATATTTAATAATTTCAATTTTTTGTAAGAAGTATCTACAGTCTAGGAACGAAATAAAGGGGATGTTTATACACAAAGTATACACCTACATAAGTTATATAAATAGGAACCATTTTAAAAATAAATCCATTAAATTTATTCGTATTTCGATATCGAGATATTTTCGATAATTATTTTGAAATATTGATATTAAAATTATTAAAAAAATATTCATGATATCGATATTGCATCAAATTATCAATATCGTTAAACAACACTAGTATAATAATTAGTAATAATTACTATATGTAAATTAAAAAAAAAAAAATAGCTTATTTTATAAGACTATGCATTACTTGAATCTTTGAAAAGTTGTAACTCATAAAACATTTTAAGTATTTTTAGTATTTAATGTATAATTAATTTTTTTAATGAATATCTTATTTTCTTATAGAGCTTAGTAAACTCAATCTAGAACAATACTACAGCTCCTATTATAGTAAGTGATAATGATGGCCATATTCTGTTCAATCTCTTGTTCTTCACAGTAAAAGATGAGCACCTCATTCCAACTTCTGGTTAGCATTCTTTAATTCGTATTAATTAGCACATCTTCACTACGAATACTATTTTACGTGGCACCTTTCCTACAAATTTTATAAGTTCTTCTGGAATATAATTTTTCAAACTCAATATTATTTTTTCAATTTATTTTTGACATTTTGGTTCAGTTGTTTTGTAATGTGTTATACTATTAATTAATCCGGCCGTTAAAATTGTTTTAATATCATACCCATCTTTCAATTCTAGACTCTGATTCCATTCATTTATGTCCGTCTTGATTTTTTATGGTATTGAGTCAAATTTTCAGTACATATATTTATATTATAGTGCCTAAATAAATATGAAGGTATTTAATAATAGTATATGTCATTACAGATCCTCAATTTAAATGTAAGTATGCTTGTCAGATAATATTACACATTAAGAAAAAATGATTATTTAGCTATTGTTATATGTTCTATTTTAGCACCAAAATTTACTTTCATTTTTATTCTTTTGCGGATTCTTTGTACATTATTGACGTTATGTCATTATGAATAAAAATTTACGCCTGGGAAAATTGCATTTAATTTAACCTCAATAAATATTGTTAGGTGATTTTAGTTTGGTTATTAATAGTTTTTATTTTAATGAAAATATAATGCTTTGTGAAGTTTGCAGTGAAAGGTTGAACGTGGAATAAATAAATAGGGAGTTCCAACAAATTTCAACAAGTTCGACAAATCTATTTGAACATTTTTGGATATGTTTTGAAAAAAGTTCTGCTAACATTGTCATTCCAACTTTAAGTGTTCTGTTCGCTTCTGTCATTATTATAATATTTAAGGTTATATAACATATTGTAAATAGTTGAGATACAATAATTTGTATCAAAATCTCATTGAACAAAATCAAAGAAGAATGAAAAAAAACATAAATTAAACTTATCACATATGTGTTTAAATCATATTTAGGTAGTAGTTGAGGATTTCAAGTACTTTTCAGTAGTACTTTCAAAAATTTAGTTTTCAAGTGAAATGAAAAATATTTTTTCCATGAAAATTTGTATTTGACTATTCCTAATTTGAATACATTTTTATTGTATTATCTTTATCTTTATCTAGGTAAAAAAAGTACTAATCTAATCATTCAAATCTAAAAAATTTACATAACAAGCTCAGCTGTGTAGTCATACTACTTGTTTTGGTGGCTTAAAAAATCAAAAGTACCTTAAAAACAGATTAGCATATCCAAGGTGCTTAAAGCAAAGTCTTGTTACTTAATTTCTACATCCTTTATATTTTGTTCAATCTATCCACCGCGCGTTGCAATATACTAGTATATAATCGAAATAAATATTCATTAATAAATCAAAAAATAGCATTAATTAAACAAAAATAAATAGTTATATTAAACAATAACATTATGATTTGTTCTACTCAAATCATAACTTGATTAATTTACTAACAAATGTTCAAATTTTTTTTTATTTTTTAAAATTGTCAGTTCCTCGTAATAATGAATCATATGATTCATGGAAAAATCAAATCGAATTATTTTGTAAGTAACTTTAAAAAATAAAAATACGCATTAAAATATTAGAAAATACAAAGTACTTTGTATGTAAAATAATATTCTATTGGTTCTTACATCATTATTTAGAGTTAAGGAAAATAACAATGTTACTTTAGTAGTCTATAATGAACAAAAATGCTGAAAAAAAATTAATCTACAATTCTACATCAAGTTTTTTTTAAAGTCTACCAGTAGTTTTACCGAGTAGGTAGTGCTAACTATGGCTGTTGTTTATATTAAACGTTTCATATTATATATTTATAAAAACCGTTAAATTTTACTTTGGTATAAATACTTAATATAATTTCTTATGTACAGTACATATAAAAATAAATTTGTATTAAGAAAATAACGATTAAAATATATTTAAATATATTTACAAAGCATGTAATTTATAGTGAGTTTTTTTCCAACAACACTTTGTTACCTAGTTGAGAATTACAAATACCTTAAATAAACTATATGTGTATTGTGTATGTATATATAATCTACAATATAGAAACTTAAAACACGTGTAATTGGTGTAAATACACTGTTTTGAGGAAATTTATTTCAACAACATTTGTACAAGTCTTTAGCATTTTCTATAAATATGAAGATTAAGACATTTTACACTTAATAATATAAATAACAATTAAATATTTGCTGTTGTATAAATAAAGTCAATAAAGGTATAATATTTTATAAAAAATTATGTATTACCATCTATTTGTTTATTATATTATATTAAAAAAAAATAATAGCCAATATTATATTTTTTTGTTTATGACAAAACGTAATCATTATTTATCATAATGTGTACCTACCTGTCAAATTATGTAGGATTGTACATATTGAGTATTAACTATTAAATTTTTGTAAATATGATGTCTTTGAAATTCTACGTAATTCTACGTACCTATGTTTATAATAATTGAACACCCACCTATTTGAACAACAACGAACAGTATGTAATTATCATCTGTTCTAATTTTTTATATATATTTAGGTAAGAATGAGTATGTACCGTTTGAAAAATTTAGTAAGTCTATGATAATTCTATAAACTAACTAATTTAAGAAAATTAAGTCCAATAACAAGATAAATTTTAACGACCTAAATAGGTACCTACCTGAAACAATAGAAATGTACATCAGTGATAGTTTTAAGATTTAATTTTGACTGAGACAACTAAATGTTAATCTTAATACATGTTTCTATTTAGATATACAGCGATAAAATACGAAATTATAAAAATCTAGGAATGATTAGCAGCAATAAGAGAAATATGAGTGATAACAGTTGTCTGTTAGTTATCCGTTTCCATGAACACTATAAAAAAAATAGAGGAAAAACGTTGAACATAGCCAACTGGAGCGAAAACATTATAATATGATCTAGAATTATGCGGGACGGATAAAAGTGATGTCGTTTTTACATGTAATCTATAGGGAATTTATTCATTTTTTATTATTATAATTCGAATGGTGGAATTTATGAATAACTACTAAAGGATATTTTTAGTATCAAATCGTCTTTGATTGTATAGATGCGTTTTAAAGAATATATAACTTCTAGACAAAGACATATAATTTCTTAAAAAAAATTAATTTCAAATTACATATATATAGATATATATCATGTATACAATAAGAATACTTGTGTGTTATCAAGACTAATATAAAAAACTATTAATACATCTATATTTATTACATTAACACACACACATTAATATTATATTTATATGCATGATACTTTTCAAAAGTATTTTTTAAATTATTTAAAAACGCCCTATAATAATTATTTATGTATTTATGTTTCGTCATTTAAATAATAATAATAATAAACCTATAAATTCCTTATATTTTACATGTAAAAATGACATCACTACCGCTGTTCGACATGCATTTTGGCGGATGCGATAATTCCAGACCACTTTTAAATGCAGCATTCGGCGTACTTCCACTGGTTGTCTAGTGTTTACGTCCGTTCCGTTAAATCGCCGCCGATTTCGCCGTTGTGTAACCAACACCAACAACAATTCAATTATTATTGCCATTGAAAAAATGATATTTCTTTGGCCAAAGCAGAGTCAATATTAATATAATTACATGCCGTCTCAATCAACGGTTTTATGAGGGTGCATATGATTTATGTGTCACGTGTATTCACTATACAGCAGGGTTCTCTAAACTTTTTTTATCTAAAGGTCACATAAAATAAAAAAAGCTTTTAGCAGGCCAAAATGTATGAACACATTTAATTTTCATATATAATTTATAAATTACAGCCAATACAACTGATAATTGCTCGTGTGCGTGATAATAACTATGGAAACTATACATATTTTTAGAATATTTGCCATTATTTGGCAGGCAGGTGAAAATTTATTCAGGGGCCGCATCTGGCCCGCGGGCCATAGTTTGTAGACCCCTGCTATACAGCAATACTACTATTACTACTAGTACTGAATGCACTTTCAAAAATAAAAAGCGCCGGCTGCGACTCGTTCTCATGAGTGCGGACGGAAGATTACGAGACCAGATGCCTCAGTTGCTTCACATCAAAATAGTCACCAATTTACAACACCAAAAACAACAAAATATGAAATATGAAATAATTTTAGGTAACAGTGGTAAAAGTGCTAGTAGTTAGTAGTTAAATTATTGAATACATACGAGCTAAGTTCTTTTGTACAATTAACGAATAAAAACAAGTATGTATTTAAGTTACAAATAGTTATCAAAAACAAAGATAGAATAAAAAAAGAAAAAATGATAGCATTATATAATAACAAAAGTAACAATGACCAAATGAAAATAAACAAAATTATGACCTATGAAAATAAAGGGATTAAATATTAAGAAAAGTAAGGTTCGTATTGACTCTTAACCCATTTAATAACCCTTCCAAGAAGTTTGTACATATAATTTGTCTGCGTTCCGCAAAAGAAGCTAAACCAAAATAATTGGTTACGGGAGTGTAGTTATGTGGAATACAATTAATACTTTAAAAGTAGGATAATTTTAATAATCTACGCTGTATCGTTAATAGAAGAAGGAAACAAAATCAAAAAATTGATTTAAAAAGTGAGACGATACGAGTTTATAATAATAATAGTGCATATCATTGCATATTAGAAATTCAATTTTGAATAAAGAACGATTTATCAGAAAATTATACTAATATTTTATTCTGAATAGTCGTTTATTCATGATTGCTAATAAAATAAATTCGCCATTATACAATACGTGTTGATTTCATATTTTTTGAAAATAATAAAAGGATTATGTCTACACAGATATACTATTACCGCACAGTTACTGTCGACATTCAGTCGTGCACAAATTTTAAATTACTGTTGTTGATGTACATTCTAGAGTTCAGTCAATGTTAAATTACATTATAATTGGATAATTTAAATACGTAATATAAAATAAAATGGTTACTGCTTTCTGCTGCCAAGACTTCTATTTTAAGTGTCTACTTGAAAATAAAGTATTTTATTAAGTATACATAAAAGTTCAGAAAAAAGTCATAATTATAAAAAAATACTTATTAAGAGATAAAGTTAAATGAGAATACTTGATTAAAGAGTCTGTATGATACATATTGGGTACAATTTTTCTTCTCCTTTTCAATTCAATTTTAATTCATATGAAACTGAAATTTTAAAATACTATGATACAATCTACGTTTTATTTTTAGAAAAAATGCACGAGATCGCGTCGCTTGGAAAGCTTGTAAGAACATTTAGAACTTGTCTAAAGTTTGGTAAGTTATTTAAACCATAAAAAATTAAAAGTTTTAAAATAGTATTTACCCTAGAATATGTTAGTTTTAGTAAAAATTTAACTTGTGAATTACAGTTATACGCTATTTTTAAACAAAATAATATAAATATGTGCCTATATTAAATTATGGTAAATACAATTTGAAGTCAGATTTTGTAAGTGGACCATATTTAAAGCACAATGATAAAAGTAATAAAAACCAAATTTTATTTTGTTTTGATTTTATCAAGAGATAGATTTTAGCCAACAGTATAAAGTTTATTACTTGTTGTATTCACTAGCAATCATTTAATTAAACGTAAAAATAATTAATTTTTTTGGCCAAAAACTAAATTCTTGCGTTAATAACTCAATATCAAATTAAAGTGGTTAAAAAAATATGCTATTTATATTTAATGCCCTCTGAGTCTCGAAGAATCTATTGATACATTTTTTTTTTATCAAAAATGTTTTATTAGTTTTTAAGTTTTTAATTGATAACAAAGAAAACATATATATAGATATTATTGTAACTTGTAACGTAATATATTTAAATTATTTTAGAAAGTAATCCTTTGGAAATGATACGATATTGTTGTATGAGTAAGTTCCTCGTGATTTTATTCTCTAACAATAAATTATAATAAGTATTAATTTGCTTAGGTTTTAAGATGACTTTTAATTAATAAAAATACAATCAATAGTCTTATAATACATTTATAATACTAAATAATTTGTTTTACTCTTTTTTTTAGATAGTGCAGCTACCAAAATTGTATTTGCCGATTGTTTAGGTTTGTTTTTAAAATCATAATAATTTTTTTAATGTTAATCTAAATAATCTCATACTATTTTATAAAATATAGTGTCTAAAGAGAATAAATTTTTCTTTAAATAAAGATATTGTCAAAATTTATAAGATTAGTGCACGTAATAAGATATACATGAAAGAAGTTCAATTCAATTTCATACATGTTTTTGTTACTTATTTAATTAATCAATCTTGTTTAAAGCTTCCCAATTTAAAAAAATATATATATATTTATCATAGCTATCGCAATTATAAAATAATTGTATTTCATAACTATAATTTATCATAATATAATTTATATTACTAGAATATTTTTTGTATATAATTTACTTTAAAATGAATATAAGAAAAAAATTGACGATTATCTAAAACAATTTATAATGGCAATAGACAATTAAGGCTTATCATTGGCGAAATGAAAATCGCAGTTGTTGTATCACATTATGAAATTCATATTTATGGAACCTAATTAAAAAATTAAGTTTGTTAATTATCAATATACCATGGTTATTTTATAACTATAACTTGTAAGGTTAGTTATTGTTATTTTATGATTTTTTTTCACTGTTATTGTTGGATAATGTCAAAAAGGTCTTAAAATTTATTGGATCTTGGTTTATTTTATACAAATCTTTGAAAAAAACGACACCAATTTCACACTGAGTTAGCGATAAATTGTTCAAGAATTTCAAAAATTATTCAAAATTTCTTATTATTGTTTATTGAAAATTGAACATCATGGCCTTATCTGTAAACCATCTTCAATAATTATTTCCAAAAGGAAGTGCGATCACTGGATGGTTTCTTTCCTTACCCTATTCATGCTTTTAAATATAACGTAGCACATATTCTTATTATGCCTTTGAGTATTTTAAATGATAATATAACATATTTCTACATGTTACGAATTATAGCTTATAATATCTAACAAAAAAAAAAAAAAAAAACAACATTAAAATAATACAGAATCATATGTGTTAAAATTGTTATTAAAATCTTTACGATTTAAAATATTCGCAAAATCAGTCTATATCAATTAATTTATTCTGCACCAATTTTTTTTATGTCTGATTGATATTAAAATATAAACACAAATTTTCCAACGAATGTATTAAATAATAAAAATTCTTCAGTTTAATAAAATGTAGTAAAATCTATATTATCTTTTTGATATATGAACATGGATAAACATTATACATATTACTTTAATTATATTAATACATTTTTAACTTAATTTAAACAAAGCTCACAATGAAATTACAGAAGAATTCATCCAAATACCCAATCATTACCTTTTAATGTACACACATAATACTAATTATATTCTATACAACATTGAAACACGATTAGCAAAAGCTTAATATATGTTTTGTTTAATACTATACTTTATAATTTATAAAACCCATAAAACAATTTTATAAATGTCACAGTAAAATATTCTCTTTATATAGTTAATAAATGTGTAAATAAGCATTTTGTATTTCTAAAAATTTTAATTTTTTGAATAGAACGACTTGAAGCAAATCAGAAAAAAGTCTTACAAGATTGTTTTGGTACGTTAAGTAAAAAAGTAAATAATGTGTTGTTATTAATAAAATGTATACTAGGTATCTAACTTTTATATATTTTATTTATTATAAACAGAACACTCATGATATTAAATTATTATTTTTATAAATGTGTGTGTGAGTATGCATCGAACATCGTGCGCATAGTACATTTTTTGTTGATATAGATAGGATACATATGTTTTGAATATTATTGCCATTTATCACGCATATTAACATATTTTGTCTTTTTGTGGTTTATTTCTCAAAAAACTTTATTAACTTAACTATTAAAAATACTGTAAAATTAAAGTTATATGTAAATTGTAATGAATATATTTTATTTATTATATATCTATATATATTAGTATTGGTTTTTTTAATATGTTATTTGAGCACTCTATATTAACCAAATTTTATAAAACGCAAACTGGTAGCATGGGTTTTTTTAGTTGAACCTTAAATCGTATTTATGATTAAAGGAATACATAGCATGTTCTGAGTGTTCTGAAGAATTACAATTCCGCTGATATGATATCACAAGGTGTTGATAAATGTGCATCTACTTTTTAATAACAAGGTCCATTGTGGTTAGATTGAGAATCAACATTAGCCTGTACCAGTCTACCGATTGAAATTCTTGAAACCAAATCCGTAATACATATTGTCAGTGACATATTAATATACTTTTATCATATGTCATGTGTGGACGTGTAGTAATTTAACGATTTGAGAATAAATATTGAAGGTATTTTTTTCTTTTATAATTTAGAATTAAACGAAATAGTTTTTAATAAAATCAAAAAATAACTTAAATTATTGCATACTTTTAATAATTTAAAAATTTAACATGTTAACTTTTAGCTGGTAACGAGAATACTTAGTTTTTAAATCAAAATTATTATTTCAAGAGTCAATTTTGAATTTATGTATTATGTACACGTGTATATTAGGTAACCTACTTATGCTGTGATATACGATGATTAAATAATATTTTAAATTTTTAATTTGTATTAGCAAAAATTACCTTTAAGTGCCTTAATTATATAATAACTATGGTGCGTTAAATATTTTATTATAATTTGAGATATTAAAACATAAATGCGGAATGAACTAGTTATTTTGCATATTCAATTTTAATACATTTTAATCAACTTTTTTAGATAATCAACTCTGTATAAATATAATTCTATTGGTCATAAGAGATAATATAATTATGTATCTATAATATGTTAGTTTAAGCAAACAATAGTGAAATGAAGATCGATGGTAAAATATCAATATTTCTCTGATGTACTTATCAACCTATCCATATATTTTACTTATTTATTATCGTTTTGCCCAACCAACTAATTGTAAATGACTACCGATATCAATTTTGATTTTCAATAAATAATAAGAATATTATATGCTATCTATTATCTAGTTTTCAAATATTCCAAATTATCATGGTAACAACGACACTGTACAACTGTAAGGGACGCGTACCCTTGATACATTTAACCGTTAGAACATAAGATTGAAATGAAACGAAGGAACGAGTAGGAACGATCGGGTGGAATGGTTCCTAATCGTTTTTCTACTAGACTCGTTCATTTAAAACGATTCGTTCAGACCATAGAATTAATAGCATAGTAGTAGTAGTGAAATGTCTACGGAAAGTGTGACGCATTAACTTATATTTGTTTTTTCTGCATTTTTATTGTATTTATACCTTTTATACACAGATAAATACGACTATGGTTTAGTCGTTTTTTTTCTTTTTATATTTTTTAAAACCAAAATTATACTTGATCAAAAATTAGTATGAATAGGTTTGCGGAAAATGCAATGTACATTATTATTATTAATAATACGTGTTCCGTAATAGTCCAACAATAATAATAAACAATCAACAATAGTATTTGGTCAAGAACTCGATTAAATAATTATATCTCATACACTTGTATCCTGTGTTGGCAGTGTTCTAATTTTTGTTTTAATGTTTCAGATACATTTATAACATCAATTATACAAATATTAGACACTGATAAAAACGTTCAATGTATGTATACAATTGCAAATAGTTATAGTTTTAATATAATGATTTTTAATGGCGACATACTTTAATACACAATATACAATTATTATTAATTTGAATTGTACTTTTACTATACAGTAAACTTAACATTTATTTTTTATTATTTAAAAATCTATTTTTAAAACATAGTATTAAATACTATTTCGTAAAATTTTGAGGTACATTTTATGTATTTTGTTTGTTCAATCTTCACCCGATGAGTGGGTTAATAGATTTTGATTATTATAAAAAAATTTAAGTGCCACGCAAGTTTTAGATTTACATATTCGCTATATTTCCGATATTTGACTGCAATCGATTATTATAAATCATAATAAACCTGTATTTTAGATGTATTAAATTTAGGTATAAATGCAGTTTAGTTCCTCCTTGCCAATTTGATTTTTTGAAACTTATGTAACTCGACAAGTTATGAACAATGGTGCAATTATAATTTGTCCCACAAACTTAGTTTTGAAGTTATAGCCTTCCAAAGCTTGCGTTTTTACGTTAATACGAATACGCGGAACACTACTTTATAACGCTGAGCGGAGGACCTCGACTCTCGAATTTGGCGAGTGGCGACCTAATCTAGCTAAAGGGAGCCACTATAATATACTTATGTTACTTTAACTGGCCATCGAGTTTGGCGACTATAACAAGATCATATAATAATAATAATTAACATTATATATCTATTGCCTATTGCAGAATAATACGTAGTTTTATTTTAACGAAGTTCTTCTGTTTACAAATAATTTGGTTAGATAAGTATATAATTAACATAGTATTTGTGTTTTTTGCGAATAAAACGAACCCAATACTACGTTAATATATTATATTTTTATATTATTATCTTCTAATTTTGTTTTGAGATTAATGTAATTGGTTTAATTAAATTTAAATACTTTATAATTTTGATCTAGTTGTTATATCGTTCGCACATTAGATTTTCGTATAATTTTATTTTAAAATATCTGATATTAATATTATTTCTCAATATTTTTTTTTTTTTAACTCCGAAGCGGTAAGCTTTACCCAGGGAGGTTTTACACAACAAGTCAAGGGATATTTTCAATTTTTTTGTCCGAACACAGCGCAGTGAGCGAGTGCCAACGTGGGCGTTACTACTTATCAATTTTGATTTTCGCCCAAAAAAATTACTATAATTTTATAAAATATTATTAAATTTATATTAAGTTTACTCTGTAATTATTCATAATTATTGTTGATAAATTATGATTGCGCCATCATTTTAAACTGGATGAATACGTAAATACCAAAAAAGAAAAAAGAAATTTATGAAAAGTGTGGTAAATTAAAGCGTATTGCATATGCGTAAAAAACACAAAATTGGTAACTTCCAAAAGCCATATGACTTCGAAACTAAGCCCGAGTGATAAATTTATCTCACCATCGTTCTTTTCTCAACGAGTTACAAATAGTTTTAATATTGGCCATTGGATTAGGAGGTCAGATTGTAATACACCTCTTTTAATATATATGTATATGGTGTGTTTTTCTTGAGTCTTCAAACTTTGGGCATTTAATTAGTATGTGTTCGATTGTGTAATCTTCTCCACGCGATTCACTGATGAGGAAGAAGGGGAGGTCGTTACTGGTCATGAAGTAGAATATGTGTTATAATAAATGTGTACCCTGTTTGGAAGCGATTTAAAATGGTCTCGTTTTTTTCCTTTTTAGGCCGGAGTTTTTCCATAAAAATACGATACATAATATGTATTATGTATTATGTATTGTTTGATTGTTAAACATATACTGTTTATACTTATTATTTATTAACTTTATTATCGGGATAGTAAATAAACATTTATTGTTTATCAAATGAAATTATGATAAAAAAAAAATAAAATGTTATTGAAATAAACAAAATAATACTTAGTCATTATAATATAATAATAAATAATATAAAACTAAATAATATTTAGATTACAATTCAACTGTGACGTCAATAAAATTTAAAAAAAATCATTAATACGTATATTTTATAATTTTCAATATTTTATGTAGACTATTACTCATTATTTAACTACAAAAGCAAGTACATTTACTTTTATAAAATATACATAATTATCAATAAAATGAATTAATAACATATTAATACGTTTTATTAAAAATGCAGATTGAATTTCATAATATATAAGATTCTATGCAGAATAAGGAATATGTTTCTTTAGAGTTTAGATCATTGTAACTATTTTATTATGTATAATGTGTTGAAAGAATAATTTAAAGTATAAACATTTAAATGCTTTTATCACTAATAATAGTATTATATATTTTTAATATTAAACATATAGATAAAATTTCTATTCAAACAGTGGTTGATAATTAATAAAAATGTTTATTATAAATATAAATAAAAAATATAAATTATTTTGAAACCATGAGTTCTAATGATAAAGATAAAAATTTAATCAAAAAATCAAATATTTTAAAAAAAATTGTAAAAAAAAATTACTTTACTTAAATAAATATGTTAATCACTTAACATTTTCTAAAAATCAGATTTACGGATTGGCTAATTTTAATTTTTCAAATAGTTTTAATGATATTATTATGTCATATTTTTACCTACTAACTGACGAGATACATTTAAAATGTAATAGTTACTTATAGGCTATAGTATTATACAAAACAACGATATTTCAGTTATTTTCAATGTTTTCAGAATGTAAAGTTTTTAATGCGAGAATACTATTATTTAAAAAAAAAAAAAAATTATAGTTGATATAATTAATATAATGTATTGAATGTTATTTTAAACGTTTTATTCATTTAAATTATGAAATGAATTTTTTATGTTTCGAACGCTAGATTAAGTTTGAATTTCTTTTAGTTTTAAAAACCCTACAAAAAATAATTTGTATATTTAATTTAATTTTCTTACCACAAAGCATAATATCATTATTATAATTATTTTTAGAGGGAGATATCGGGAATGGTGCTATTAAATTATTTAATACTGTTACTAGTAAGTTGTTAGGCATTTCATATATTTTTTTTATTTTTTAATAAATACATGTTATTTGAAATATATAAACAATTGTTATTTAAATAACATTTTAAACGGGTCCTATTAAAATAGTAAATTGATGTGCATTATACAATAGACATATATATAAATATAATGAACTATCGTAACAATACATTTAATCATTATTTATTATAATATTATTTTAATCATTAAATTAAGAGGGCTTTTATTATAACTTTAAATTGATTTACGAGTATTATAAATTTGTAATATTTCACATAGCTATAATTTCACTTAAAAGTAACAATATCAATAAAAGCCTGTAGACTTACCTATACATTTTATAACAGGTAAATTCAATCTAAAATATTAAAGCTAACAACATAAAATTAATTTTACTGAACGCAAATTTGAATGTGTTTAGGACGAAGACATCACGTGTAAGTGTAGCGTTCTCTTAAACTGAATCTTTTGATCACACTGAAGTTTTTATTTGAATGGGCAGATTAGTAGAGTTCTAGGCCACTTTGTACGATCGGTAATAATGAATATTTAAGAGCGTGAAAACTTGGTACTAGTATATGCATTTAAATACAAATACCATTAAGTATATAATTAAATAATAATACAAACATGTCTAGAATTATGAAAAATTGTATTCATAAATAACAATATTATAAAATTTTATGAAATTTCTATTAAATTGAGACCAAGTTTAAAATAGTATAAAATATGTGCGTTTTTCAATGCATATTTTTACTAGACTGCGTTTTGAATTTTTAACCAATGACTGTAGAAAGTGACTGTTTATCATTAAAAACACTTGGTTAATAAATTCACATATCTACCTATACTTTAATAACCTAATGTTTATTAATTTTTATTTTAAATAAAAATAAATGTGTTTGTTACCTGATTTTATTACATAATTAATCATGTTTAAAATAGATCTTACAGAAGATGAGTATAAAACTAATAATATTGAAGTATTGATTTTGTATTATAAAGGTAATATTATTTTTTCATATTATGAAACGTTTTTTAATGACACAAAATATTTTTTTAACACCCTAAGTTTTAACTTATTAAATATGCAAACGTGGGCTGTACGCCTGTATCAAAAATTTAACTGAAGTTTACTTTATAAGTTAAGTTTTATTTCTGAATTCCATAAACCTAATCAGTTATTTACTATTTTAATTAATTTCGCAGTCATAATATTATTTCTATATTATCAAGAATTAATAAATATCATTTATACTTGATTTTTTTTTTTTTTATTCATATTGTAGTATACGCGGTTGTCGTGTTGTTTCTAATAACTCAACCTATATAATATTGCATTATACATTATTCTGACAACATGTGTGATAATGGCTCTTAGGCATTTTTAACGTTAAACAAAAGTGCTAATTTATTAAAAATTGCCGATGAAAATATTACAATACTGCGCAAAAGTGCAAGTAGTTTTGTTATTAAATAACTATTTTAACAGTCAATAACGACCGCTTCACAAGCATCTGTAGGAACTGGTCCAATTGGTTCTTTTATTAAACAATTGAGGTGAATAACAGAATTTAAACTGAAAGTAGACGAAAAATAGGACCGATTGGTCACAGTACTTTCAAAAACTATCGAAATATTGTGAAATTTCAGCAAGTTTTAATAGTATGCAAGTATGCTACGAGGTAATTTTTTTGGAAACTCAGGGTTTAGAATATTAAGAAAATATTGATATCAGAGGAGGTTATAACATTTAAAAAAATTATTGAATTAAAATTAGCCAAGGAGCCTGCAAACAACAAAACGATGTCGGTCAATTAGATCAGCGAGTAGAAGTTATCAAATCCCAAAAATTACAAGATTAACAGAAAAAACTAAAATTTCAGAGTAAAATATTGTGTTCGCCGATGTGAACTTGTGCTATATAAAATGAATTACTATTTTAATGAAGGGAATAATAATATTAGGCAAAAATATGAATATATTAATGTGATAAAAGAAAAATCTGTAATAATATGATAATAAAGATATTTAAATAGTAAAAATATATTTGAGATCCAAAGCATGGATTCACGACAATTGAGCGCAGACAATTGAGCGCGTGACAATTGAGCGAAGACTATTGAGCACACGACAATTAAGCGCTCCGAAAATTAAGCGCTAAGACAATTAAGCGCAATATATAAAAAATAATAAATAAATAAAAAATATATTATAATAAATTTAAGTCATAGAATGATTAATAATATTATATCTGAATACAAAATGTCAAACAAAAAATGTATAATAATAATTTAAAAAAATAAAAAAGTAGGCATAGTATAATTTATAATACATTATGAGCCAAGTTAAACTATTAAATATTTTGAGCAATGCCTTTTAAAAACTCTTCAGTTGATCTAGAATGAAATTGTTCAAAAATATTTTTTATCCTTAATCCTGAATCTTTGTATTTTTTTTTCTTGGTTTTGGTTCATTACCTGCAATAAATTGATGAATTCTCACGCGATTCAACTTTTCCTCTTTTTTTAGAGCGTCGATAAATTTCCAAATTGATAGATGAACTGCATTTAAAATTGATTTAAATGAATTATGCCATCCTTCAATAGCATTGTTGGTCCTTGGTATATCATTTTTAATCAACTCATAACAGTTCCATAATTTTATAGAAAACTTTGGAGACCTTCGTTGCCTGTTACGACTTATACGACCTATCCACGTGTCTTCGAAATAATCTAAGAAAGGTGTCAATATTGTTTCATGTTCTATATTAAAATCAGTTTGTAATAGGTCTTCGAATGCAGTAATAACAGACTCTGGAGGAACATATGCTAATGCATTTAACATTTTAATATTTAATGCAAACTCGGAATTTTCACGGTATTTTATGGCAAGTCCTGTGTTTTGAATATGTCTCCATATAGATTGACAAAAGTGGAAAAAACAGTCATTTATTTCTGTTTGAACAGATTTATTTATAATTTTATCATTTCGTGAACAGCAGTTAGTAAAATATTATAGCGCTTAATTGTCGCAGTGCCCAATTTTCCCCGCGCTCAATAGTCTTCGCCCAATTGTCTTCGCCCAATTGTCTGCGCTCAATTGTCGCGCGCTAAATTGTCGGGACACCCCAAAGCATAACAGTATATATGGAATATGGATATAATAAAATACAAATAGTATGAAATGATATATAGCGTAAAAACAGTACCAATATAGCAATTTAATAAATATATATTAAAATGAGATCTCGACAGCTCCTTACATGAGGCTATTATCTCTAGCTGACTTTTAGCTTTTAGCTCACGTGACCCTTCACTGGGTTGTGGCAATTTTAACATTAAGTAAACTGGGTGTATTCAAAAATTAAAAACCACGCCAATAGATGTTAATAATCATTGCCTTTATATATATAATAATTTAGCCTTTTTCACGAATTTGACTGTAATATCAATCATATATCATATTATTTTATAAATCAAATATAAAACATGAATAAAAGTGAATTTTAAATAAATGATGCATCATACTATTATATATTAATAGTTTAATTAACTTTACATTTGATTTTTGACATAAATTATTTATTCTAAAAAGCTATTCAGTAAGTTGCTTAGTTCTGATTTTTATTATTACTTAATTTAAGGGTTAGTGAAATTGATAGGAAAACATACGTTTAGATAATTTTAAACAATAACCGTCGGAATCGATAATTTCTCCGATCATCAGTGAATACCCTAAATTATTAACTTCCAATTTTAGTTTCTCATTAGTCAATATTTATACGTTTAATGGAAGAATAATCAACAAAAACTTACACATTACCAACGGTTACCTTAATAATAGCTTCAATAGTACTATGTATGATTTTTCCTAAATTTGAGTCGATACAAAAATATAACCATACCCTTTAAAAGTCTTACTCCAAAGGCATGATCTCTTTTAGCACACTGTTGTCAGATAATGTTCCATACATAATAATTTCAATGGATAAAAATAATAGAAATTATATAAAATAATAATAAAATTAGTAATTATATTAATGATTATGAATAAGAGTATATAATATAATATTGAATATTTTAACTATAAATAATGACGATTTTAATCAATTTAAATTTCAACGATAGGAATAATTTATAATTTTCTACAAAAATATTTTTTTTTTCTAAACATTTAGAAATCATAGGTAAGCGCTTTTGATTTTCTAAAATTTACTTAATTATATTCAAAACATAAGCAAAAAATTGTTTTATTTAAAAGTACAGATATAAATTTATATTTTAGATTCATGATTAAGAATGGCTAAAGAAATGTAGTTGTTTTCAATGTTTTTTTTTAATGTTTGGTTATCACCTTTATTTGGAGCATAAAAAATACTTAATCTTCAACTTTGAGAGTGGTTTCTATTAGCAAATTTGATATAGTGAATCCTTTGTTTAAAAATCCTTTGTAAAACTCACAGTTTTCTATATTAATTGAAAACATTTTTTAAAAAAGTGAAACAAATATTTATGCTACATAAGTAGCTATTTGATATAAACGTATTTATATACAAATTTATTTGTTGAAATTAATTACTTAAGTATCATGAAGAATTTTAATTTTTAACAAATACTTAATATTCATATAATGAGCATTATATTTTTTTGATAACTTACAGTTTTCAATATATTTTGGAGCTTTCTAATATATTTGTAGATATTTAAAATGTTGACGTTTTTTTGTTTATTCATTTGTTTATTATTCGATTAAAGGTTTGAAATAATTAAAAACCAGTTAAATTAAAAATAAAAACACTGTTTCCGCTTAGAATCATTTTTTTTTCGGGCATAAATAAAGGTTTTTTTTTATAAATTCAAGTCTAACACGTCTATAACAGATCATTGTACCCAAGATCACTATAGATACTTAATGACGGAGTAAATTTTATACAACAAATAAAGTTCCCAGGTTTTTATTTATCCGTGTAATTATTATGTCTATGTTTATACATAGATTATTGCTTACATATTCAGGATATAAATATTGTAAAATAAATATTATTTAATATGACGTATGCGTCAATAGTACATTATTAACTAAACAATTTAAAAAAATATATATAGTAAAATAAAAGTAAAACTGCTTATACGTTAATTTTGTTTAGGAAAAAACGATGCAGATAATATTTCTAAAAAAGATGTCAACGAATTAAATAATTGCTACAGTGAGTAATATAGCAGTTTTTAATTAATTCAACTATTTTAAGTTCTATAGACAATATAAATTATAATATTATAATTGATGAGGTGTTATAGAACATGCATAAGTGCAAATAGTTTAACTAGTAAACATTATTTATAATTTCTAAATATCACTTCATATGTGGTTTAAGTCCTACTTTATAATTTCCAGATGTCTTTCTTAAAGACTGGTTGTCTCATGTCGTATTATGCTATCAGGTGCGCGTTAAAGCAAATTTCTTATACCAATGTACCCAGAATTTTTCCATTGTTCTTTGCACTAAAAATGTTCTCAAGCTTTCTTACATAAACTCTAAATATTCTTAGTGAATATAGGAATATGACAGTATTTAAATCAGAGAAAAATAGCTCTAATTGAATAAATTTAGTAGTGATTCAGACAATCATAGTTTATTTTACCGACACTTTATTAGAGTTGGAAAAACTAAATCAAACATATTACATGTACTTTTGAAAAATATTAAGTTTGAAGAAATCTAAAAAAGAAAAAGTAGAAAATTAAAAGAATAATCAATTCACTAAAGACTCTTTAAATGACCACGAAGTGTATGGTATATTATAATCGCCGCATTAGTTATAATATTAAGTTTGAAAGTTGCTAAAAAATATGGAACTCTACAGCCGTAAGTAGAGACCTCAAGATTCTTGGGTTCGTTAAACCTAACATAACTCCCTTCGCCTTTGCCATCTATCCCTGTACTTACTACTTCTACTTTGTACACTCGATCTTTGACTAAGAAATTGTTATTTAGCATCTTTAGTAACCTTATAAAACTACACATGTAACGATATAAAACCTACCTACTATTATTCATAGCTTTTTAACTAAAAGTTAAGTATCACCTTAGTTTAACAGTATTTTTAATACTTCCAATTTGCTACCCTTTATTTCCTTCTGTATACCATCCTACTACAAAAAAAATTTATTTTAGTTTTATTTTTTATTCAGCTTGGTCATGCTAAAGTTTTTGATAGTTAATATTATCATTTATAATATACTGATACAAGTTATATAAATTTTGGACGGTTAATATCAGTGTTTATCACGAATTATTATTTTTAACCATTAAATTAGCCACTTGGATGCCTCATTATTAACTAACTTCAATAACTAAAACATATGATTATAATATAAAATTTTTATTGCAAATAATTTTATAAATAATATCACTATTTTGTAAAATATTATTAACTATTTTTTTTTTTTTTTTTTTTTTTTTTAGCACTTTATTCAAAAAATGAAGCTAAAGATTACAATTTCATGGTTGAAAGTAGGTTATTTAATCATACATTTTTGATTTATAAAAGATAATTTATCATAACTTAAAATGTATTAGAATTTTAAGCTATCAATAATAAATAAATATGAAATTGTTATTAAATTATTTAAAAGCTTTAAAGAAATTCCAAAAGAATGATATGAAATAATAATATATTATATAGAATGTTGAGTTTCTTTACAATTATTTACGGTAAAAATAATAAATACAATATTGTTCTATAATTGCATGCATATAAACATAAACATTATTTTTATTTTTTAATATTGAACATTATTACACATTTTTATTAAAGGAGACAATAGTAAATAAAAATTACGTACTAATTTTATTTTCGAATATCTTAATTGATTAAATAAAAATGTTTAAAAATACATTTTATTCTTCTAATATATATATATATAAGTATATAACTAATGAAACTTTATCGATATTTATTTCAAGAGCTTTTACTTCACTTATTTGTTGAAAGTTGTAATTTTAAAATAGGTTATACATTAGGTACCTTAATGTTTATTAAAATTTTTTAGAAATTATAAATTTATCAAAACTGATAGATAAAACAGATTATGAGTTTAATTTAGTATTTTAAATTATAATAAAAATGTGAGATTTTAATAGACAATAAATCTGTATGATAATGTGTTTTATCAGCTATAGCTTGAGCCATAGGATTTATCAGAAGCTGAAGTTAAATTTTAAGCAGTGTTAACAATATTTGTGTTAGCATTTAAAAAACTTTAGGGATTTTGGAATCTATAATATACAGGAATTTTATAAAAATAGAGCATTATCAATAGATTACAAAATGGTTATTCCCACAACTTTTTGCTAAAAAATTTCGAGGATATTTTTTAGTTGTATGTTGAACTGTTGATCACTTGTTACCACAAAGAAAACATTCAAAATAAATATTTCTATAAGTACGCAAAAAACTGTCTTGATTAAATTGTCGAATATGAAAATTAACTAGTATAAATTCACTACAGTTGGAAATAGATATTTTATTTTCAACAACCATGCTTAATTGACCTAAGATTTAAAGTATTATTAAAAATTTGATCCATTGCTTAAATGCTTAATGTAATTAAAAAAATACAGCTTAATACGTTTTTTTTTTTCAAAAAATTAACTTAAAAAACAATTTTAATAACAATACCGTTCATATCCATCATATAGAATAAGCATAAAACATTTAAATATCTCTCAAATTTATTTTGTATTCGAAAATGCTGTATGTTTTACGGCTACAAGTTGGGCATCGTCGTTCATTTAATTTTAGGATAAAAGTTATAAAGCTTATCAAGTATAATAATAATAATGCTAACATAGTTAAATTGAAATGTTAATCTAAAAAAGAAACAACATTTAATACAATTATATAAATAAAACATCTAACAATCAGAAGTGTGGTCAATAAGTTGCATCTCATCTAAATACACCAAGCTAATATTTAACTAATTTAAGATTATTATACAATGATTGTAAGGATTATAGATTATTACACATAAATAAATGAAAACATACTAATAATTTTTATTAATTATATAATATGTATCTTTTTTACTTGTATAACCGACAGCGAAGGAAGATCTGTTTGAATAATACTCCTCCTCCGCTGCTATAGTTTATTGTAGTTTACAATTTAATACATAATAGTATAATACAAAATATAATATATATATATACTTTCCTTGTAAACATGCATTTTGTATTGGTGTTCAATATAATCTTATGTATTACAGTTTTTGAAGAATTCGATTCCTTCGATGATTTTATTAAACAAACAAAAATATCAAGTATGTTGATAATTGACCCCTTATCACCAATACTATAAGAGAGTAAGACATTAGACATTCGAAAAACAAATAAAATATTAAAGTATTAACGATACACAATTTTTAAACTATTTCAAAAAAGTTGTCAATAATATATTACACAATAGTTATTTTCAAAATAACATTAATAATATGTAAATTATGTAATATAACATAAAAATAATGAATATTAAATTATTATTATTTATATAGTAATTGCTTTATCTTATATTTACTATTATCATATTATATTTAATTTATATCAATAATCATATTTATACTAATATTTTAAATCCAATTTACAGTCAAGTTTCTAGGTTAGTAAATTTAAACTTATTTATGCTAAATAAAGATAATTTGAATAGATTTTTTAATAAAATAGTCAAAATATGATATAAAACTATATATAAAGCTTTTTATTGAGTTACTAATTCTCACCTAGTGCATATTTTTTTAATTAAAGATGGTTCAGATAAAATATAAATTTTTTACTTTGTTTTCCATTGTTGAATTAACTTAGATAATTCTAAAAGCAATACTCTGTGGATTTAGAAAGCTTTTATTATTTTAGTTGAATTTTCCATATACCTATTATACAAATAACCGTAAACAATATAATTTATGTGTAAAAAACGTTAAAAAACCAACAAAATTATAAGATGTCAAGATGATGCACATTTCCAATGAGGATTTATTATTTCTGTTAATTTAATATGCATTTTATACACTTACATTTGTCTGACAACTTGTATTTATTATTTTAATTGTATAAGTATAACAATTAATAACAACATATTTTTTTAAAATTATTTGTGTGTGCAGAAGGCATAGGTAAGTGACTTATAGTCAACATTTTTAAGTAATGTTTGATATTAGATCTAAGATTATTTGAAAAATACATCCATCAATTAGTTATTCAAAATATTTGTATTTATATTTTCAATATCACTCTTAATATTGTAAAATCATCTTTCTTGGAAGAGAATATTATTTATTAATATAATTTTCATGGATTACAATTTACAGATGTATTCCATCTAATTAAATTACTCGTAGGTACATTAATGAATAATGATATAAAATTAATTTTTACGTTTTTTTTATATTTGTACATTTTAGAAGGTCCACGTAAGTAAATCATTAACATAATATTTTACTAAAACTTCTAATCATTTTTTTGACTGATCTTCAAATCATTGGTGGAGTTTCTGACTTCTGTTACCAAATTGTTGGGAAACTTCAGAACTAATCTTACTTAAATTAATGCATATATCACTTTTATGATGTTTTTCCTTATTAACAGTTATATTCTTAAATTATTACAGTTGTAAATAATAAGGAATTATACAAAGTCTTTCTTGAAAGTAAGTTTTTTTTTAAATAATTTTAATACTTTTTTATTTAAAATGATTAAATATTAAACTTTATGTAAATATTTTTTTATTTATAAATTACAATATTTTTGGGCGGAAAATAATAATTTCAATAAAATCTAAATATCAAATATATTTTATTACTTATATGTTATCATAGTTTTATTCACCCAAAATAAAACTTGCATAAAAGTTTCATCATCATCTATGATCCTCACTGATTCTAAAAAGAGGAGTAATCTATAGACAACGAATATGATGCGTTATCTGGTTGCAAGATCATATATAATTTATTATAAAAATAATATTATAATTTATAATATACCTATTGGATACGTATTTACATATTGTTATAACTGAAAGCTAGGGACTTAGGAGTTTGCATATTTTTCAATAATTATTCAAAACATAACTAGTAATATGGAAATTTGTTTCATACTAATAGGAGTTTAAAACTTAAAATGTATATTTTGCATATTCAGATTTTTGTAATTAAAACATTACATGACATAAAGAATAATATTTTTATATTAACTTACTATAAAATATTTGATATTAATTTTCTCGAAATTGAAAAAAATAGATTAAAATTATTAAATTTAAATGATTAAATAATCTATTTGCCATGGGTGTTTTCCCAATTATCTGTGTGTTGTGAAAAACACATAGTCAGTTAATAAGGAGTAATATAACTAGTATGTATAATATTCTAGACTACAGAAGATACAGTTTTTTGTAGTAAAAATAAAAATAAAAATGTCTTATTAATTAATTATTTATTTATTTATAATTTTGGGTTTTTTAATGAACAATAAAATATTTTCAAGAATATATTTTAGCATATTTGTATATTTTTAGAGCATATTTGATAATTTTTAATGGCATAAATGCATGCATATTTTATGGTATTTTAGAGTATGAAGTCCCCAGCCCTAGTTATAAGTTAATTACTCTCAAGCGTAAACGACATTATTGTTAAAAATGATGTATGCAATAAAAACAAAAGAAAAGTTACACAACAATATTTGTGTCATCATATCCTCATCATTTTATGTTTTTTCTTTGTGTCATAATTTTTCCTCTGCTGTGATGCTTGGCTCTTCCTATGACAAGAAATAAAATTTTAAATACATCGCCATCAGACATATTAAGTATTAATATTTAATACTGTAGTACAAAGTAGGCTGAATGCACATAACATTTCCGTTGATACAAAACATGTTCTATAGGTATACTAGGTTTAATGTCTAACCATTGTATATAAATAAAATAATAAAATGTAGATTTAAATTTTTTTACTGTTTATTTATTTAACCTTACTTATAGTTTATATTATTGAGTTTTCATAATATTGTATAAATTAAATATAAATGGTTTTTTTCTCTTGACATTATAATACAATATTTTGATGTATCGTTAGTTGTGACTGTTGTCAGCTTGAATAATTATTATATTTTCAGATCCAATTACTTTGAACGATTACCATGAATTACGAAATCGTAAGTCAAATTATTTAACTGCATTATTTCTAGTCTCTTTAACACATACATCATATATTTAAAGTTCTAATTACATTATATACTAAATATGATCAAAATCAAATTATATATATATATATATATTTTTTTTTCATTTAATGACATTAGGTCATATTTTTGTATGAATTTAATATTTTATTTTACACACTGTTCATAATACGTCTAAAAAATAATTTTCATATTATTTTATTTGTATGCATTTTTATATAATGATATTTAATGCAATTCAATTCAACTAGGATGGTAGTTTATGACTTATGATAAAATGTCTATGCGTTTTTTAATTTAATATCAACGACACGAGTCACAAATAATGACGTAATATAATATATAAAGGTATTGTAAAAGTCAGGAAAATTAATAAAGTTAACATTGTTATTTAATTAGTATAATATTTTTCAGCTTTACCGCTGGCACATGAAACATTGTATTCATTGTATTCGATTAGATTACAAAAACTAGGTAATTATTTAATTCTCTCATACTTTAAATTATGTTAAATTAGAATTATACGTTTGTTAATCATTTTCTTACAAAAAACTGTTAAATAAGATTGCCAAGCCTAATAACATTTACGTAAAAGTTGACTCAAACATAAATTTTAACTTTCAACTTTTTAACTTATAAAAAAACATGCTCCGATAGTCCGACGAGTCCAACGCACTTCATTCAATTCGAAATAATCTGTAGGTTGCCAACCCAGGTTGATTCACATAAATGAATACTCGTAATATCTGACCCAAAACTCACTTGAAATATATTGGTGACACATAAATTATATTTTATTGTAGCTTGACCTTGAAATACATAGTAATGATGAACTATATATTTGTAGTAATATGAGACATATATATATTACGGGTAAATTATATGATGATGATTTTTTCAATGTATTTTCCAATCAAAAAGGTCAACACGAAGGACTTTGAATCAAGAATGTACTTGTATTTGATTTTTTTTATTATTTCATGTATTTAATATCTCTTTATTATAAACAATTATAAACGACCTAAATCGATATGGACACTGTGCGTTTATTTTAATGTGAGTGATTTGTCACGTAAAAATTTAAATGAGCAACGATATGTGTGATTAACAAGTATAGGTATTGATAAAAGTGTGAATGTCAATCTTAAGTTAGTAACATTATAACTAACTGAAATCACTGAAATTTTCTTCTAAGACCCTTAAATCAATATCGATATAATTGGAAAAAAATGATTATGTTTTAGTTTAACAGGTCGATAACCAATCAATTTTAATCATGTGCTTTCCGCTGGCATAAATTATTTTCAATTTTTAATTCATTTAATTTTGATATAAATGTATTATTAATGTATTTTTAGGATATATTCCATTATATCAAACTTTATGGAATGAACAATTGCAAACATTATCGCATCATCCTCATCCATGTAAGTATTCGGAATTAAAAATAATGTGTATACTGTGTAGACTTGTACCTAACCTACAATATTTAATTTTGATGAATTAAGGTTTTGTTTTAACTAAATATTATTAAACGGGTCATACATGATATAACTTTCAAACAATTTAAAAAGTACTCAATATTAAAAAAAAAATAATTAGGATACAGTTTACTGTTAGGTTATAATGTCTTAATTTTTTGTTTTGATTTTTGAACCACAATACTAAAAAGCGACACTTCTCTTATTGTGGGCAGTCCTTCTCCTTATGTATACGTATCGCTTAAAGTATATCATTAATAAAATATTAAAATACATTATTACGTGCTCAACTAAAGGATTCCTTCCTTTACGTTTATTACAAGGCCCTACTTTTCCTGATTTCTCGTATAGTGTATAAAAAATACTTAACTAGTTTAAATTATATTTTCTTCCATCCTCTGTATAGCTTATTCTTCCTTATTCTTGATTGATAGCACCTTTTCCATGAACTACCCCACCCCAATTTTCTTTTTTCCCCAACTTTCACTTTATGATGGAGTCTGACTCTATTTATTCACCGAGAATGACCTCTAACTCCCTTCTAGAATGCTACCATCTATTGTATCTGAACAAGGTCAGGTGTGCTTAGCGTCGTACTCTACCACTCCACAGTCCACAAATGTATTAGAAACCTGTCGTTACCAAAACTTTTAGTGAAGAAACCAGATTTCTAGCAAAATTCACCGGGTAGTTAAACTTAACCAAAAACAGGATGAGGGGTAACTTTTAATATGTATTGTGACTTGTGAGGTTATTCCTAAAAAGTTGTCCCAAGCAACCGATACATAATATAATTGTGTTATCATAATAGTACCTAATCAAAATAAAACGGACCGTCAAAATCTACTATTTTTTTTTGTAACTGGATTTTTTAAAAGTCTGTGTCTATAGTCTAATAACTTATGATTAATTTAATTTCATAACTATAGTAACCTTTTTCATAAAATATTGTGTTTTTAATCATAATTTTAAAACATTTAATTAAAAAAATTACCACAATATGGGATAAAATCATTACGTTTTTATTAGTATGCTATATTTTTATACATACTTACGTTTTATTATTTATTAAAATAATAAATATTATGATAATATTTATGTATTATAAATTATAACATTTTTCATTTTTATACATTTTTCTTTCAAATTATTTTGAAAATATCAAATATGTATGGATTATACAGTATAGGGTCTTGTTAATCCGAACGGGTTTGAGGATATCAATTTAAAATTTAAAAAATCAACTTTTTTGCTATTAAACTTTAAATTAATTTTTATCTGTAGTTGAAAAAGACAATGAATATAATATTACAGTTTAAATTATTATTATTATATTAAATTACTCTTCTGCAAATTCGTTTAATTAAATTATTATTGTTTTGCGTCTACGAGAAAATAAGTTTAGATATAGTAATAGTACCTATAGGCTGTAAATTTTAATTATTCTTTTAAATAAATAATATATATATATATATATATATATATAAAACAAATAATGTAATGATGCGATAATTCTCAAGCTCGTTTAGATTATCACGTCTTAAGATTAACCAGTGATCGGATTAACAAGGACCTGACTATATTCAAGTTGTTATATCTTATAAGTTATAAATATAATTTAGTTTGTTTCAACAAATTTTGATTTTATATAGTAATATCGAAAATACATACGAATTATTATTAATAAATTCATATTTCTCCACAGAGTCAATATCTGGAAACGAAGGTCGAATAAAAACCATTTTATTATATTCTACTAATAAGGAATTTAATAAATTTTATTAATTATAAGTAGTAGTCGTAGAATTCTTTGCTCCATTATGGATTGCTTGAACCAAATAATAAGAATCTAGTAACAATCGTTTGTTGTACTATTTTAATATCATAAGCTTAAAATATTTTTTGAAAATATATTATAAAATTAAATTAAATTATATATTATAATCAATGTAATATTTAAATAATAATGATGCATGTTTATTCAAATTCAGATTAAAAATGTTTCAATTATAAAAATATAACTATAACTGCAATAAATAAATTTAAAAAATAAAATAACTACTGATAATGATTTTAAATTAAAATTACGGGAGTTAATTTAAAAAAATTAATATTTAATATGCGTATTTAAAATTTTAATTAATGGCTATTAAATAGTTACCTAACGTTCTAACCTATTTGCATCATCTTAAACTTCTTAGTCAAAATAAATATTTAAAAAAAAACGGTTTGTATTTAAATTTATTGAAAAAAATATGAAGTTAAGTACAATAATACCGTAAAAAAATACAATATATTTATAATTACACAAATAAAATACAAGAAATCAACTTCTAAAAGTTGAATCAAGTTGGTACATGTTTGCTTATATCAATAACATTATTCATTCTTTTTTAAATTCTGAAAAATGTGTTGCAATAAAAATTATAATTTTAGTTAAATATTTTTGATAAACGTAATAATTAATTTGTAATCTATTGGAGAAAATTGAACTTTGGTAGTTTTTAAAATGTTGGTGTACCTATTTATATTGTTTTACATTCTGATTTCTGACACTATATGAATTCAACTAAGTATGATTTTAATGACGAAATTGATGATACAATGTTTTTTGTGCTATCATTTTGCTGATCCCACAATACATTCTATGTTTAGAGTATGTGTTTCTGTCAAAGAATCTACAAAGTATTTGTAGTGGATTACACTCAAACGTTTAAAACCCATTGTTTTAAATTCGTTGGAGTTTTTATGTCCGCTAACAATCTAAATAAATTGTTGCTCCTTTATTTTAAATCTAATATTATTACATTAAAAGTAATAGCCTGCAGGAACTTGAACTAAAAACTATTCTTTAGTTTCACAACAAAGTCCTTCAAAAATCCATTTTTGCAGAAGTATTCTGCTTGTATTATTTTTATGTTAAAAAATAAACTTTCGTTTATTTTAAAGATTTTTCTAGTTTCTCCAATTTTTTTTTTTTGGTTTTTTGCCTCAATTCTGAGAACAAAATTTTCTTAAAAATAGTTATTCCAGTACATGGTAGTATTTCTGTTTATTTTAAAATCTCACCCTATTATAGAAGTTTACTTGCTTCTTCTTCAGTTTTAGGTAGAGACCAAAAGTATATAGACCTTGATAATATTAATAACTAATTAATAAAATTGAAAAATTAATTATAAAGTAATAAGCAATTCTAAACGTGGTGATGTCGCTCTAAAACAACAGCATAAACTAGTTTGTGGTATAAAAAGCTTGAAACTAGTTCAAATATTTTCAAAAATTGTATTGGATAAGTGTAGATAATTATAATATACATGATGAAAAAACATTTTAAATCCCTACGAATAATACTTTTTGAATAACAAATAACTAAAATCATTAATTTTGTTTTTATTAATAATTGCTACGCCATCCTAAATTATTGTAATTTACAATTACAGACACGAGAGTAACTTATATGAAATCTTGAATTAAATTTTCAAAAATTTTGACCAAAATTATTACAGCAAATTATTTTAATTAACATTTGTAGAAGAAAAAAAACTAAAACTGTTTCCAATTTTATATCTGCAAAAGTATAAAAAGATCAAAAACAGTAGACTATTTAAAATAAATGTATGATGTATATAAAATAATAAAATAAACATTGTGTAAAAATATTAAGTATCTATAATGGTTAGGTATTTATTTTTTATTTACAGCAAAGTAATAAAATCAATTTCGTCAATTACTAATTTTACATAGCCAATCAAAATACAGTAAAAAGCACATCACACAACGTATAGATGAAGTGGCTATTACTGATCACATGGCTCAATAGTTATGAAAATGTAAACTGTAAAGTGACTTATATCGCTTAGGTATACTAATACGTCTAAACCTTTGTCATGACAGATCGCGTCAGTATAAAATGCATACGCGTAAATGTTGTAAAGACCATCATAATGTTTTTAATATCCCCGCGTGTTTCTACGTGATTAGTATTTATTGCGCTATTAGGTATGTAATATCAATTAGGTGTAATTAGGTGTACTTCATAAAAAGTATATATTAATATATTATGATAATAGTGTATTATAATAATTTTAAAGTATTTGCCGAAACACAATAATATGACACAAAGTGCGCATAGATTGTTATTTATCGCCTACCGTTGATAGGTAATGCTAACGATTTGCCTAGTTCAACTACCTATTTATAGGTATGGTTATTATAATAAACCTGTGCGCGTATACAACCAACTATTATATATATTATGATTTATGAGTTATGAGTTATGACTTACGAGTTAACGACATAATATAATAATTGTGTCACATGAGAAAACCACTTTTGGCGTTTCATCAACGACGTAAATTTCATTTATTTGATGATTATAACTTATAAATTATAATAATATACCTAACTACCTAAGTACCTAACCTTACAGGTACGATAAAGTTATATTTTATCGTGGTATCCTATGGGTTATATCGAAATTTTAAATAATATAGGGTATAGGTGGTTTATCCTGTAAACGTGACCGTTATATAATACTATAATATTACGTATTTGTATTTTGCGTTCTATGTTTAGGTACTCATCTGTTAAAAATTGGGAACCAATGATTCTTCTTATAATGGTTTCTACCAGTGGTTTTCAATCTTTTTAGTACCACGACCCAAATTTCCCCCAAAAAATCTTTTACGACCCACATAGGCCACATGGTTTCACTTTTCAAGAAGCAATTAAATAAAAAAAAAATTATTAAGTTTTAAATTAAAAAAAAATAATAATTTAATAATTTAAAAAAAATATAATAATAATATAATATAATTTTAATTTTTTTAACAATATTTGTTTATTAGGTTTAAATTATTATTTTTATCATTGTATAGGTTTATAATCAATATATTTTTACAATTGTACTTATAATAAATAATAATAATACCATAATAATGTATTTAATAATAATTTAACATACATTTCTTGGTATCTGTATAATTCAAAAAATTGTTCGCGACCCACCAAAAATTGACTGACCAGTGAGTCGCGACCCACAGTTTGAGAAACGCTGGTTTACACAACGCGGATTAAATCCGGCGCGTCAGACGTCACCGACTATCACTCCGCGTCCTGCGTGGCTGCTTATCGTTTACTGTGTAATCAGAGTGCTTAAAATTACTATAGAAGATAATAATGTTATTATACACTATGGTGTTGTTATTTAAATACAAAACCGATAACCGGTTGTAATATTTATTATTATTAATTATTAATATTATTGCACTTTCAAGTTTTGACCGAGTTTTAATCCGTAGTGACTTTCATTCGGTGTTTATCGTCTGTCTGTTTACTGTTTAGTATTTTCTAATCTTTATCAATTGTTGGTATGTAATAATTATTGTCCGGACTCCGGAACGCAAACAACACACAGTCAAGTACAGGTACATCTCTTTATTAGTGTTTTACTAAGATATCTATAGTTTATATTTATAAATTTTTTAATTTTAATATTATATAATTCCTTGTAGTTAAAATTATTACTGAATTGGGTTTGTATCATTATATTCATGTAAAATACTAAACAAATAGTAGTTTTATTAGTTCAATTTAACATTGTTAGAAATAAATTACTTTTTCTACTAAAAGTCACTTATTTATTTATTATAATAGCTTAAGTAACTCTTCAATTTTTTTTAAAATTATTACATTAGGTCTTACGCAGGTATGTAAAATCTGGTTGATATTATAGTTCTATAACAATCTTTTTTTAGTTGAATTTCTTTTAATTGGCTATTTAACTGATTTTAGAATATTGTAAAATATTCTTAAATCAATGATATTATGTATAGTATTACACATTACATGTATTCTTAAATATATCAATTATATCATTAACTATCTAAAATATTAATTACTTTTTATTTTTAAAGTATGCCTATTTTATGTAAGTCCAAGAAAGTTTTCTATGATTTTAAGATATTTTTATGATTTCCTAGTATAATTAAATAATATTTAGTCTAAAATACTAGCAATAATAATTAATTAAATATATCAATTTATTTTTATTATTACTTTAAACTTTTAAGTTTATTTTTAATAGGTAGGTATATACTAAAAATTTTAATCAACAAGCAAAAGTATAAGACTGATAAGGTATACAATTTTTATAAAAAATTCAAAAGTTAATTTACCTATTCCCATTGCTTAATACATTTTATTGTTGATTTTAATTTATAATAACAAATTAATATACTTATTATATTTGGTAGTTTTTAATTAAATTACAAAATAGTAAATACATATTCTATATTCTTTGTCTTCAATATCATGAATACTATACTCAGTAGCCTATAACCTATTGTATCAATAACTTTTTTTTTATTATAGATTGTAATAACATTTATATCATATTATAATGTTTAATCACTACTTGTTTTTATATTTAAAATAATTTTAAATTAATTAACCATTCTGTGTTTAAATAAATTTAAACATAATGTAAATTCCATGCTCTTAATTTTCATACAACTTGATTCACAAATCATCATGTTATTAAAAATATTAAGTTAATTATTTTTTTTTAACTAAACTAATAACTACAAGTTTAAATAAATTAGTATTATTAAAAGTTTAAAAACATGCAATTTATTCTGAGCACATGCCTTTGTGCTCCTGTGGAATTTAGTTTGTGTTATGTAGATAAACAATAATAGTAAATTTAACATTCTAATTTATGATGGCTTATAGGTACCAGGAGTTTGCAATTAACTTGGATTCTATATACTTTTAAAACATTTTATTTAAATCTAAAAAGAAACCAATTTATAATAGAAGTTTTTATTATTTGAACTATAACAATTATCTTCTAACTTTTAATAATTTGATCAAAATAAAAATCT